AAGCTCTGAGGTCTGTACCTGTTGTAACACCTCCCACCTACCTGGGACAAGTGTGTGCTGGGCTGGTGACTTCACCCACCTTCTGCTCCTCCAGCTGGGTTATTTCCAGCCTAAATGAGTCCATGAGATGTTTCAAAGCCATTAAAACAAATGATAAATATCTGGCTTTATAACAAATTCGTATTTTGCAAGTTTGGAAACTTCAGGTTTTTTGTGAATCATATTTTCTTCTGAAACTTTGTGCTTCTGCCTTTATTCATCAGAAATGCTTTACTCTTAATTTACCATTATTCTGTGGCTGCTTTATGGAGGAGAACCACGCTGCTCTCCCCCCTCCTTGCATCTGCCAGGAGAACAAAAAGCTGATCCTCTGCACCTGTCCCCAATTCACCACCAGCTGAAACGAAATTCACTCGCTCAACAAAGTGCCAGCAATGACTCAGTATGGAAATAAGAATGATTTCTTTTAAACTCTATTCTGAGGCAGCACAAGAGAGAGGGCCCGTGTTCCATGGCAGAGCAGATCTGCTGGGTCACGTCCACAATCCTCTCCCAGAACTTCCTCAACAGCTCAGAGACAAAAGGACAAAATACTGGTTTTCTATCCTAGACTGAGGCACATCTGCTCCAGTCCCTATTTACATTTCTGAACGTTGACAAGGCATGGTTAAAATGCAAGAATATGGAGCAAAATTAGAGGAAGTGCTTCAGGTCTCAAGTAAGATCCAACCTGCACTTCAGTTTCCCAAATATCCACCAAATTTAAGGTCCCTTCCAATCCAAACCATCCTGGAATTCTGTATTGAAATAGTAAACCAGGAAACATTTCAGCTCTGAGGATGCTGGGGCAGGAACAATGGAAACTTCAAAAAATTCCTGTATGAAGCCAATGGATATCTGCTGCCCACCTTAACCAACCCAGCTCCCTGCTCCACTCGGATTATACGGCCACTAACTTCCAACAAAAGTTTGGATTTCAGGTCTTCTATCTGTTCCCTGTTTTCAATAAAAATCCCTTTTGTTGTGGTGAATAAACCTCATCCATTCCTCCTGGCAGTGAACACAAGGAGGTTTTGCAGCTATTTAAAAAGTGCCTAATTGCTTCTTTTGGAAAAAGTGCCTGAATGTTCCCGTTCCAGCACTGAACGAGCTGCATTTGTAGCCGCTCTCAAGATTGTTTATCTTCCCTGCTCCTCTCTTCCTAATATTCTCCACTTCAGTTATTCTGAAGCTGTCAGGCTCCATATAAAAAGAAAATGAGTAAATGATTTAAAAAGGAGCTGGTTTAGAATTGAGCTGAGTGTAAGGCAGTGAGTAAAACAGAGTTTTATTGCAGTTATGCCATCATAGCATGGAAAGGCATGGAAAGCCTTTGTACCATCACCTCAGAGAGGCATTGACACGATTATTTCTCTTCCCATTTGCATAACATCAGAATTAAGTACAGAAATATCCACCCTCAGAAGGATATGACCTGGGGACAAAAAGGAGCAAAGGTTTTTACCAGGTCACCCAGAGAGCAGGGAGAGGATTGCTCTTGAAAACCGCTCTGGAAAACCACACCTGGAAACAACTCTTCCACTTTTCCCACTTAATGTTTGATTCATATCTCTGTTAAAAATAAAGACAAGTAAAAACTGATCTTTGTGACCCAGATAATGATGCCAGTTAGCAATTGTGATTTATGACATTGATGCTCCTGTTTGGTGCTTTCTGCCCATGATTCCATCTGGGAGTCACCATCAGTCTGCTTGTTGTTGGCTGGTGGCTCCAAAGATTTCTACAGGTCTCAGGTTTATAGCACAAATATTGCTGTGCTAATATTTGGGAAATAGGATTCACTGTTGAGGAACATGAGGGAAATGATGTCACTCAGCCACTGTAATTTTGTGAAGAATAAAAAATACTGGGCCTTTCCTGGAGGACAGAGAGGCCACCTCCTTTTCCCATAAAACCAGGTGCCACAGGATCTGTCTTGGAGACAGACTCCTGCAAGCCAGACAGAACATTCGAGCTGTAAAACAGCTCCTCATCACAAATGGCTCTGTGCCACTACAAACAGGAGGGAAAACTCTCCTTAAGGTGTATTTGATACAGCAAAGTTCAGCCTGACCCATTTACTGGGCTTGAACAGTCAATTCTTTTGTTTCTCAGTGTTAATCCAGCCTGGAAAACTCATTATTCTGAGTGAAAGGTTATCAAAGACTCCATGGAGAGGTTGTAGTGCACATGGATTGACAAAATCATTAAAACAAAGCCCTTTTCCAGAGAAGCTGTGGTTGCCCCATCCCTGGACAGTGTCCAAGGCTGGGTTGGATTGGGCTTGGAGTAACCTGGGTTAGTGGGCTGAGGGGCTTGAATTTTTAACTTTGGCTTTCTCTTATTTTTCCCTTTAAATGTGAACTTCTTACATTTTTGATGCTCATTTGTGACATAATTAAAACAGCTCTCTCGTGTATATTCTTGGAATTGTTCCAGCAGGTTCTGCACCTTGGTGTCACCGTCTCCAGGAATATTCCTAAATGTGTTCCAGGTAAGTCCCAGAGGCAGAAGAGAAAGGAATCTTTCCCATCCTGTTGGGTGTTAATGCCCACATTACAATATCATTAATTATTTTGCTCTGCAATAATTAGATCCTGTCTGAGGCCAGTATTTAAAGAAAGGCCCACAGGCAGCAGAAAAAAAAATAATTCAAAAATACATAAAAGTCTCATTAACCACTGAAGCCACTGGTGGGAAGATCCACTCCAAAGGATGAACACAATCAGGGTTATTTTCCTGCTGATCCCACCCTCGGGAGATCTCTGGCTGCTGAAGCCCCACGAGCACAGCACCATCCCCTTGTGCTGGGCTCCAGGGGAGCTGTGCTCCATGGAATCCTCAGGGAACACGTCCTGGCTGAAGGCACTGCTGCTGACCCAGCCTTCCCCTGAGTTTGATAATGATAAATGATAATGATCTCCTGAGCAGCAAAACCAGTCGGGCCAGACGCTGCCCAGCCACCCAGAGGGCTCCAGGGAGGTTGTTTGCACGGAGCTCTGACAGTGGGGCATGAAAGGAGGTTAAATATGTTTTATTGAGCTTGGATTTGCCACCTCCCAAGCTCAGCAGGTTTATTTCCCTTCTCTTTGTATCCTGGGAGGCTGTAAATAACTTCAGTGCTTCCCAGGAGGTGGCTCTTGCAGCCACACAGAAAATGTGGGGCTGGATGTGGGATGCAAGGGCTGTTTCCAATGGTCTAGAAGTTGTGGGTTTGTTTGTTGTTTTTAATGAAAATTAAATAAATGTGAACTTCCATTCATCAAAATTTGAATGAAAAAGGAATATTGATCTAGACCTCACAAATGAAAATAAAAAAGGAGGAAGAGGGCAGGAGCAGAACCACTTAGCTTGGCTCCCAGAGCTCTCATAGGGATGGACATTCCTGATGTGGGGGTCTTCCAGGTCAACAGAAAATACAAATTTATCAGCCTGAAAATTAAGTTTTATACATTCCTAAGAATTTAACTCAATCAACACACTGAGAAGTTATTCAATTTCTGCTCTTCCTTAGCTTTGGGCTCCCTACTGCAAAGAAATAACTCTCCACACTCAAGAGGTTATTGAGAAATTGTTTTATTAAAGCTCAGCCAGAAGATGAAAATAAATGTAAGGGTGGCTGAGAGCAGTAGGATGAGCTGTCAGGACACAGAGGGACCTTCCACAAAAGCTCCCAAAAAACTTAATCAGGCCCAAGGCTTTAATTTGAGCGGTTTTGGGAAATTCAGGTGGTGATACAGGGACCAGAAAAAAGGGCCACTCGAAGTTTCCAGCATTTCCAGCATGTGTGGGATGTTGGCTGATTTGGAAAGGTGCAGGTTGAAGTGAAAGCCTGCAGATTCCCAGAACAATTGTGCAAATCCTCTCCTGGTGTCAGAGCATGGGATGAGCCATGAAGAACACCCAGCCCAAAGCTGACCCACTGCCTGACCAAGCAGCAAGAACCAAAAGGCCACATAAATGCACCAAATAACCCCCAGGTAGTAGAAATTGGAGGAAGTGGGGAGAATCAGGATTGGGATGTGGTGGAGGAGCCTTCATGCTGCTCCTTGGTGGCACCAAGCCATTGGGTCCTGTCACATGGAACCACAGACCTGCCAAAAACTTCAACAGGTTTTTTGCCCTCTCTCCTTGAAACAGTAACAAAACCAAGAAATGTGACAGCTCTGAAGTCTGGTTTTGGAGTGTTAAAAGTGCTTTTCTTGGCTGGGTGCTGCAATGGATGTGCATGGTCCCAATGATGCCATCAAGATCTGCAAGGTCCCTGTGCCATCGAGCAAGGTGTGCATGATCTTTACATTATTATATAAGGTGTGCATTGTCCTTACAGAAATGCACAAGGTGTGCCTGGTCCCCGTGCTACACACAAGGTGTGCAGGGTCCCTGTGCCATCAGGAAAGGTGCTGGCAGTCCTTGTGCCACCGTGCAAGAGGTTACTGGTCCTCGTGCTTCCAGGTGAGGTGTGAATGGTTATTCCATCTCTGTGCAAGGTGCAACAGGTCCCTGTGCTGTCAGGAACGGTGTGCACGGTCCCTGTGCCATCAGGAATGGCGTGCACACTCTCTGTGCCATAAGGAATGGCATACATGGTCCCTGTGCCATCAGGAATGATGTGCATGGTCCCTGTGCCATCAGGAGTGGTGTGCCTGGTCCCTGTGCCATCGGGCATGGTGTGCACAGTCCCTGTGCCATCAGGAATGGTGTGTGTGATCCCCATGCTGCCATGTGAGCTGTGCATGGACCCTGCATCCCTGAGCAAGTCGTGCACGGTCTCTGTGCCATCAAGGAAGGCATGCATGGCCCTTACACCATTTTACAAGGTACACACGGTCCTTGCACCATCATACAAGGTGTCTCTGCTGTTCCAGGAGCACAGGCCATTCTCCCTCCCGCCAGACATCGTTTCTCGCCCGGCACGGGTGAATCCCCGAGCGCTGCTGCAATGCCCCCGCAGCCCCGGCTCAGCGCAGGCCCCGGCCGGGGCAGGGCAGGCAGGGGCAGCAGGAGCAGAGCCCGAGGGCCGCCCTCAGCAGGGCCGAGCGCCGCGACGGCCGCTGGTATTTGGCGGCTCTCTTCACCCCGCCGCCCGTCTGGGCCGCGTAATCCAGGGTGCGCAGGACGTGCTGCTCCACGCTGTCGGCAGCGCCGTGCTGCTGGGCCAGCAGCCCCTCCAGCTGCACGAACAGCCCGCGCAGCTCCAGCAGCTGCGCCTCCAGCTCCACGAGCTGCCGCTGCCGCGCCTGGGCCAGGCCCAGGTGATGCTTGGCCTTCAGCTCCTCCAGGTCGCGGCCGACGATGCGAGGCCCCTGCGGGCTCTCGGCCAGCAGATCCACGTCCTGGGCGCCCAGGTTGATGCCCGCCAGCTCCGCCTGCCTCTGGATCTGCTCCTTCAGCCGGTGCCGGTAGCGGCTCTCCCGGGCGTAGTGGCGGGCGAGAACGGCGCCGTAGCGGCGCAGCAGCAGCCACAGCTGGGTCTGGCGGACGCGGGGCCCCGCTCGCCCCGAGCCCCCCACCGGGGCTGCCGGCGGCGCTCCCAGCCGGGGCTGCAGGGCCGCGGCCTGGCGGGCGAAGGCGGCGCGGGCCGCCCCGAGGCCGCTCTTCTCGCGGGCGATGCTCTCCTCCGAGGTGCAGCACAGCACCGACTGCTGCGTCCTGTCGATGCTCTCCGAGAGCTGCTCCAGCCGCTCCAGCGCCCGCCACAGCTCGGCCGCCTCCCGCAGCGCCCGGCCCACGGGGCTGGCGTCGTCCCCGACGAACGCGGGGTTGTCGAAGCTCAGGGAGTCGTCGTGCGGGTCCCCCTCGGCCGCCACTCGCTGCTGCAGCTCCGCCAGCCGGTCCCTCATGCTGCACGGGGCTCCGGCACCGTCTGCGGGGACGTGTGAGGCTGCGGGAGCGCTGCGAGCCTTCCCTGCTGGCCCCAGAGCAAATATTGATGGAGGAGGGCCGGTCCTGCGTCAGCCCCGACCGGGCACGGCCGGTGGAGGGAAGGGCTCGTCCCGGGCAGAGCGGGGAAAAGGCCCGGGCCGGGAGCGCTGCCAGCACCGCCCGCACCTGCGTCACGGGCCGGGCTGCGGCTCCTCACCTGATCCACCGAGGCTCGGCACAAAGACGCTTTCATTCACCCAGGAACAAGGACACCCAGGAGTCCCGACAGACGGGGCACGGAGGGGGTGACCCACCCGGTACCCCCGGCCTTCCAAACGGCTCCAGCCGGCTCCAGCCTGCCCGTGGCCTCACTACGTACCAAACCCAGCTCCTGGATGTACCAAATGAAGGGCAAATGACGCGGAGTCAGTGACTCTGCCGGGCTGGGAGTAACCTGCAGGGATCACGGAGCCCAGCTCCTGGCCCTGCACAGCAGCATCCCCCAAAATCCCATCCAGCGCCTGGCCCTGCACAGCAGCATCCTCCAAAATCCCACCCCGGCCCGAGGCGCTGTCCAACACTCCTGGAGCTCGGGTCACGCCGTTCCTGTTGGGAACTGGACAGGGATGGAGGCAGAGCTTGGCCTTTCCCTGCTCTGCAGCTCGGGAAGGCTCCAGTGGTGAGGGTGAATTCAAAAAGATGCTCCTGGGGTTTCCAAGCTGGAAATGAGCTTTGGGATGACCCAGCTGTCCCAACATCACTGCAAGGCAGTGCTGAGTCCACTCGCTGCTGAAATGAATAAAAACCACAGCTGAATTCTAAGACATCTATAAAAAATACCTTTTAAAAGGTGCTTCTACAAAATGCATTTCCAAAGTGCATGGGGAAAATTGCTGTTCTCTGTCACTCTGGTATTTTATATAATGTATTTTATAATGTGCATTATCCCATATGACCTTAACATGATGATATAAAGTATACAACAACTATGATATAATATCAATATAATATCAAATCAATAATATTGACAGAGGGACAGCCAAGGGAGGTTTAGCAAAGGTCAAGCAGCTCTGAAGGGAGTAGAATTCCTTCCCTCCATTGCCATCTGATGGATGTACATAAAGGGGGATCCAGCATCTCTGCAAAACAAGTTTAATTTTGTTCTCTGTAATCATCAATAAAAAAAAATTAAAAAAAAGAAAATAGAAAAAAAGGCCCTTTTGTCCCTGGGGTTTGGAGGATGAGTGTTGTGTTAAAATGGAGATATTCATTCCCATCAGAGAGGAAATGCCACTGGAATCAGCACAATAAAGTGAAATGTCAAATAAGTCAGCAGATTAATGAGGGTAAAAGTCAAATTAGAATGACAGAATCCCAGAATCATTAATGCTGGAAAAGGCCTCCCAGACCACCGAGTCCAACCTGTGCCCAATGCCCAACTTGTCACAGCCCAGAGCACTGAGTGCCACCTCCATCCTTCCTTGGACACCTCCAGGGGTGAGGACTCCACCACCTCGCTGGGCAGTTCCTTCCAATGCCTGGCCACCCTTTCCAGGAAGAAATTCCTGCTGAGAATATTTATTCCATGTATTTATTGGCAGCACCTGCCCCTGGCTGAGCACGGAGCCTCTCCAGCAGCTCTGCACAAACCCAACCCCATCCACCCCCAAAATCCCTGTTTAAACAATCTTATCACTGCTATTTATCAAGGGCAAGAGCAGAGGAGCAATTCCTTGTTTCCCATGAAATATCCTTTAGGTAACAACAGGAACAACCTTCCCCTGGAGCTGTCACCCCCTGAACCCATCCGTGTCCCACAGTGGCTGAGGGACCTTGCCCAGAGCCTCCTCCTCCTCCCCTGCTCCTTTCATGGCATTTTTAGCAATTTCACAGCACTTTTAGGCATATTCCCCTTCTTTTTCCAAGAAATCATTAGCTGCTTCTACGCTTTTTTCCCAGAAAAATGGGATTTTGGAGCCAGACTGGATGGTGATGGGGGTGAGGGTCTCCATCCCATCCTGCTCAAGACCTTCACAGTGTATATAAGCTTCTCAATCCATTTATAAATAAAGGTTCTAAATCCAGTTTATAAAACTTCCAATTAAAACTATAAAATTAGCCAGTTGCATCAAAAAGCAAATTTTTTTTTACCTTAAAACCTCCATTCTACCTACCATTTTTTTTAACCTTTTAATTTGTCAACTACTCAGGAAGCAATGCAAAACCAAAGTAAGAGTTTTTCTTTTTATTTTTTTTTTATTAAGACAATCCCACAGCTGGAAAATGAAACATCCTAGATTACATCAGTGACTTCAAAAAAACTCTAGAAAAAAATCTTTACAAATTTACATTTGTACAATACAAAAAACTAACAGCTCATTGCATATAAATATTACATTTGGTCTGCCAACATGTGGCATCAAAATCCCTGAAGTATTCATTAAAGGGACCTGAGATAGCGGATGTGAAGATATGGGCATAAATATCACCTGAAAAAAAAATAATATAGAAAGTAGACATAATTCTAATAGTTTTGTGCATTTTTGGAGTATTTTAAATCCAGAACACGACCTGGAGAGTCTAAATCATGTGAATTTTGCTCTGACATCAAGTGGTATTTCTACATGAAATCTGCTCTAATGACTCATGGAGGAATGAAGAGCCTGAATTAATATTTCTACAGAAAAATAATCCTCAGACACTGAGTTCTGAACACACCCGAGCAGCCACCACTCTCTGAGGAAGAATTTTAGGAAGAGAAACTGCAGATTTGGATTTTAGCTGCGAATATTCCGGCAGGATTTCACCTCCCTCCCCCAAAACAGCTCCTCACAGACCCAAACCCAGGAAGATCCGCAGTGCTTGCCAGTGAAAACCCCCAAACCCAGGAACTGCTCCTGATTTCCCACTGGTGGAATTATTTCCCAACTATTTACACATTTGCCAGCTCCCCAGCGTGGCTGCAGTTACTACCAGGAGTAGTAACTCCAAGTGCTTGGTTTGCCTTGGAAGTTTCACAGGCTCGGATCAGGTACCCACATCCACACACAAAAATGTATTTCAGCACCATTTTTAAAACACTAGAGTTAAGGCTGTGACAGCAATTCCCACTGGAAATTTAAATTTTTCAGGGATTCATAGCACAGTTGTGTGAGTTCGCTGTGGGCCGAACGCGACGTAGTAAAAATATACAAGCTTCCAACAGGTCTTTGCATTTCTAAGACTAAAAAAGGACGAGTTTTTAGACTAAATTTTGCAGGCTGTTACTTACTGTACATAAAGGAGTTTTTTTTACCATGTGTAAACCTCGGATATATTGAAGAGTTGAAAAGTCTCTGTCGCTCATGCGCAGGGATTTGCTATAATACACATTGTAAGAACACAACAACAGCTCCCTACCTATTAAATATAGAGTCAGCCTTGGAGGGTTAACTGCTCCTTCAGGAAATCATCAGTATTTTATAAAACTCTGCAGGATGTTTTTTAAATAAAAAGATAAAATTAAGACATGTAAACACACAAAGACGTTTTTAACCCATGGAATTCATGACAGGATGCTCCAGATATCAGGACACAACATCCTCAAACCTATAGCTGTTCACTCTTCCCTGGTGTTCACCACTCAAAGATGGAATGAATCAAGTTTTTATCAAAAATTAGTGATTTAAAATGATTTTTTTACATTAATATTCTGTTATTTGGAGCACAGGGACATTCCCGATAGATCCAAATGCTTTGCAAGGGTCATCTTGTTTTTGGGAGTCAAGAGAACCTCCAAATATTTTAATTTTTAAAATTAATTTAAAACTCTCTGCCACACCCAGTGCCAGCTCCTTTCCTTGCTCTCTGAACTACTCAGTCCTCCTGCTTCCCCACAGGAGGAGCAGCTGAGATGGACATTGAGGAAAACATTCCAGGAAAAGGAAACTATGCAAACAAGGATGCAGAATCTGAAGCAGCCAAAAATCCTCCAAGAGTTATTTCTCCCCAGTTCTTTTTAGTTTTTGTGTCTGCAGGGTGGGGGTGGTTGGGATTAGGGGGTGGCCTCTGCTTGGCTGATGGAGAAAGGAGTGATGGAAAGAGGGAGGAGGGATAAAAACTGCCCAAATTCATCCGAGTTCAAGCACCAACACAGAAAGGTTTGGATTAAACCTAACAGCCTGGCAGCCAAAATAAAATTCATCATGATACCCAAAGTTCCCAAGAGAATAAATAAATAGCCTATAAAAGGAAACTACAGGACAGAGGTGGGGCATGGCAAAGAGGAAAATAAATGGTTATGGAGGAAATAAAAAGCAGGTGAAGTTTGGGCTGAATAATGGAATTATTAAGGTTGGAAAAGGCTCCAAGATCATCAAGTCCAACCTTCAACCACATCCCATCACGGCCACTGTACCACCAAGGGCCACATGTGCTCAGTTTCTTGGATGGTGACTCTGCCCCCTCCCTGCGCAGCCTCTTCCACTGCCTGACCACTCTTTCCATGAAAATATTTTCCCAAATATCCAAGACAACAGCACCTCACTACAGCCAAACAAGCTCTGCCATCCATGCCCTGGTCTGCAGAGAAAGGGGAGCTGCAGGGACAGGGGATTGGGGCTGGGAGAAGCTGAGAGCAAAGACACCCAGGATTTCAGCCCTGCCTGTGCAGGATGGAGTGTGGGGGCCTGGGGCCTTTCCCAAGGTGTCCCAGCAGCTCAGGATTGGATCTGCCAGTGGGACAAGTCAAGGGAACAGAGCCACCAATGCCCAAACATCTGCAGGAACTGAGGAGCTCCTGGCCTGCCTGCTCACCCCCAGGAAACCCATTGACAATCAGACCTTAAATCCCATTCCTTAGGCAGAGCCTGGAGGTTTTTGTGGAGAGTTCAAGGAAAGACATTCCTGACTCTGCAGCCTGCCCAGAGCTTAGCTTTTGGTTGGTTTAAATCACTTTAAATCCTGCACCTGGTGGGCTCATCCTAAATTTACCACAACCACAAGTGGCTCCCGATAGGATTTGGGATTTGAGAGCATCCAAGTTCCTACAAAAGTGTAATTATTTCCACAGAACTATGAGAAATCAACTGCCCAAATCAGAGAAAGAATCCAGACACAAATCCAAGCAAAAAGAATAGCTCTAAACCCAAGTTATTTGTCATGCTTATAAAAGGTTCTCATGCACAAAAAAAAGAAGCTTTTTTTTTTTCAATTTTTACATTAAATTCTGCTGTCCCAGCACCCCCTGCTCTAGCTTATAGTCATGGGACACAGTAATACTTACGCCACAGCAAAGTGATGCTTCACTGGTATCTTCACAGTACAGAGAAAAGATACAGTTAAAAACATATTAAATCTTACTCTAATTGCTGCTAAAATACACCAACTTATAAAATGATTTCTCTGGAATCCCTGTGGTTTCTCTCTTCCCAACCCCTACACAAAATAAATAAGGAATAACTGGATTTTCAGCCAGTCAGAAATAGAGGATAAAAGCATTTCTTTTGCATTTCAAGCTTTTCAGGCTTTAGGATAGAACCCATAGTGTTTACATTAGCTCACAGGACTGATCTAAGGGATATGATTCCAACTATGGACTGATGCATACATGCTATTCCTGGTTACCATATGTAAAAGGACCAATCAGTCAAACAAATAATACATTTCTTATAAATATAAATGCGTGTATATATACAGATATATGAGAGAGATGATAGGACAGGTGTTTATACTTTAAAGCCCAACACAGAACTAGGAGAGCCTCTGCACTTGGTTTTTTCCCCACCCCCCCCCCATCAAAAACCAAATCAAGTCTAGCAATGGATTACAGCAGATTCCAAACATTCCTTACAAAATTAAAAGTGTGGGTTTTGTACTGTACCATAAACTCATATTAATGAGCAATTTAGGATATACTCTCCTCCATCACAAAACTAAACCTCTGCTTTTTTTATTTTCAAGTCATTTTTGCATCTAACTAGGATTTTTTTTTTTGGAAAGTGAGATAAAATAGCTAGTGCTTAATATAGAAAGTCAAAAATTAAATTCCTTCTGCATCTGAGAATATACATGGGTCACTCTTTGCTGCCTGAGGTTTTCCAGAATTATTGACCAAGCTGTGCACAGAGGAACTTCAGGATATTGGATGAAAGCTTAAAAAAAAAACCTAAAAAACCTTGAAAAACTCCACTGGAACTTTGTAGTCTGTTCTGACTTGTTCTCTCTGTAACCTGGCTCTGAACTGTCAGACAAGGGGAGCAAACTGGAATCCCACATCCATTCCAGGAGAGCCCGGGAAGGAAGGAAGAGGCTGCTCACCTGCAGCTCAGCCCACGCCACCGCCGAGGTCCCCGAGGAGCCAGAGCAGGGATTTCCTCACCACCTGCACTACCACTGCCACAGGGGTTCAAGTCAGCATTTCCCAGGACAACAAGAGCACAGTGCAACAGGAATTCTCTTCTGGAAGCTTGAGACACAAGAGTCAGTCTGGGGGGCGACAGCTCCCTCAGCACCTCCGAGGGGCCCAAACTACATTTCCATGGAGCACGGGCAGTGGGGCCAAGCAGCCCCTCTGCACAGCAAATCCCCACCTGCCCCAAACACCTCTGAGAACCACTGCATCTGCTTTCATGGTGGCAACACAAGGAAGATACAGCTACTCACAACTTCCACCCCTCTACGCTCCTTCTCGCCTCTTCTTCACCATGCTCTGAATAACAGCATCTATTTTCTTTTCACTTTCCAGTAGTTGTAAATAAGAGGTAGCTGAGCTACTATTAAAAATCATGCTTTGAAGAGGAGGAACCTTTCAAATGTTGAAGTCACCCCTTTAGCTGCACAATCTCGATTAATACTATAAAAATATGAGAGGACAAAAAGAAAATAGATGCAAGTAACTTTTGCATTTGGCACCTTTTGTCTAGATATTCATACTTCTCAAGTATTCTCTTTTTAATAAAGTTAATGCACACATAGGACACACCACATCAAAGGTTTGCTACATATTTACAAGGCACCAACCCTTTGTCACTGTTTTTACACGGATAAAGAACCAATAGAAAGCACATCAGGACCCCCAAAACTGTAGTATGGACATACTTCAGTTCAGCACATTTCCATCAACGTTTGGCCTGGGAAGATTAAAATAATCCAGATCCTTCTTACAATATAGAAACTGTAAACATTTTATAGCTGCCTTTAGGATTGGTGTATTGTGCAAAAGTTATAATTATTACTGTGTCTAAGGATTTATGGCAGAAACCACATAAAAACTCTGTAAGAAGGTGCTATTTCTATAATACAAAAACAAAACGAGGGAGAGAAGTCATAAGCGTGACTCGAAAATGTCATGTTCTTACTGAGAAGCTGGAAGCCTCTGTAATGTGATGAACGTAGTGTGTGGGGAAGAATTTCTGTAATTTAAGGCCTAATGACTAAGGCTTGTTTTGACCAATGAAGTGTGGAGATCTGAAGCTTTAAAACAAACACAAACTGACAGGATGGAAAAGCACCACTGTGAAAACGTGAGTGGAGTCCCCGCACAACTTGCTTGGTAGAATTTCTGGTAAAATCCCTGCAGTAGAAGGCCATTGAAGTTCTTTTAAAATTGTTCCAAAGTTTTCCATCTGTCAATAATTCCATCCCATGAGATGGCTGACCCTGGCTTTTTCTGTCATTTTCCGCACCCTGCCTGACCTGGAAGTACCAAGGTTCAAAGGATCCTCGGTGTGCACAAAATTGTCATTGTCGGAGTCGTCGTTGTACAGGACAGTTCTCCTGCCCTCGTTCCTGGTTTTGATCCGAGGGGGTCGGCTGAACCTCCCTCCAAACACGTTCTCCCCAAACTGTCCCCCAAAGAGGTTTTCAAACTCGTCGTCGGCGAGCCGGGCGCGCTTGGCTCTGGTGGCTCCTCGCGAGGCCCCTCGGCCTCCTCGGCCTCTCCTTCCTCCCCGGCCGCTGCCTCTTCCTCTGCCGCAGCCTCTTCCACCTCTGCCCCCTCGGCCCCCTCTGCTCCACCTGCCCCACCTGCCCCACCTGCCCCTCCTCCCCGTGCCTCGGCCCTGCCAATTCCGTTTGCCCCCGGTGAGTTTCCGTTTGATTTTGCGTTTGGGTTTTTTGGATTGCACAACTTTGCTGTAGTCATGGTCGCCGTCGATGTAATCCTGGTCTGTCCTGGAGGTTGATTCCGAGTCAGAATCAGAGCCACTTCTGCTGTCAGAGCTGGAGCTGGATCCTGATTCCCCACTTTCTGATGAAGACAAACCAGACTTTTCCTTTAATTCTCTCTTCTTTTCCTCCTCCTCCTCCTCCTCTGCCTCCTCCAGGGGCTCATCCTCCTCTGAGGCGCTCAGCAGCTTCCTCTTGACTCCTGCCCGGGGTTCTCTGCCATCCCCGTTGGTGAGGGGCCCATCAGGAGAGTGATCTAAACAAAATAACAAAATAACCCCATCAGCATCACACCACAGCCAAACAGGACACAAAAAGTGGGATTTGCTGCAGTTGCCTTTGGGATTCTCTGGCTGTCTCTGAGGTGTGCTCAGGGATGATCCACTGGGATGCACTCACCCTTTATGTGCTGTAGAGCACAGGTGCTCTAAGAGAAAAATCTACCAAAGTAAACACAAGTGTTTAAAAAAACACAAGTGTTTTTTTATCTGGAAACAATGACTGTAAACTCTCCTGAGCAAGAGTTCAGTGAAGATCCAGGCAAAACAGGAGCCTGGAGTGACCAGGTTGACATAAACATCTAAAACTCAGCCAGGTGAATCCTGCTGGGGTGCCAAGGCAGGAAAACTCTAAAATCCATTTCAAAACTATACATACACAAAAATAATATTGTGCAAGCAGCATTTATTCCCTATCAAATGCATGTTCTCAAAAGGCTTAGTCCAGGGAATATTAATGGAAAGCATAACTCAAGAAAGTCAATGACACAAGAAAGCTCACAGGGATTGCTGAACACATTAAATGAAAATTCAATAAAGTATCTGGCTGGCTTGGGACCCAAAATCCTCCATGTTTTCAGGGTTATGAATGTGACAATGAAGAATAAATATCTTCTTTAAGACAGGAAAAGCTCACCTGCAGCATCCAGCAATGCTACAACACAGGAGTGTGGACTTGGGAAAGGCTCCAGGGTTCAGGAAATGCCCATGTAGTGCCCACCTTGGTGGAAACTCTGAGTAACTCACCCCCAGATTACCACACCTGAACTGTTTCCCTTCTAATCACAACTACTTTGTTTTGCAAGTGAGAAAAATATTTAAATATTTTTGTAACTTCTTTTTCATCTTTGGTTTTCATCTTTGATTAATAAAGGCAAAGGTTCTGTGGTGGGGATTCTCTTGGTTTGTTTGCTGTCTGTAATTCCTGAAGGAACTGTAGGAGTTTAAGTGCAATCAAGTTTTCCATCTGGAAGGATTTTAAAGGACTTTAAAGTTTTAAAGGACTTTTTAAGGTGTACATGGAATCATCTGCATTCCACACCTCAGACAAGACACCACTGAGTAAAGGAGCAAAGTAAATTCAATGTTTTGGTATGGTTTAGGAATATAAACAATGCTACACCGAGGCAATAAACATCAGACAGAAGCAAGATCTTTCCTCTCTAGTGAAACCAGCCAGTCACAGCACAGAATTATTCTTTCTCACCTTGTTTCACTGGTGTAGATTTGCTCCTGACTGGCCTGCTTTTCCCTGGGTCTATGGCATTTCCACTCCGGCTCTGTGCATTTGAGCCTGATGAAGATGGTTGACCCTCCAGCTCTTCACCAGTGGCTGAACCCAGAGGTTCTTCTGCTGTATCTGAAACTTCAGACAGGACAGCACAAGGGGACAGGGTGATTTTTATGTTCTGTTTACAGGGTTGTGTCTGGGGAGGTTCTGTCAACAGCCCAAGTCAGGGCAATCTCACCAAGCTGCTCTGCAGCCACGGAAAGACAGATTCCTCCTGAGTGTAACCCCAAGTAGGATTAATTTAATTAATTATCCTTCACTGCTGTACGAGAGAGGCCCATACACAGGAAGGCTGGGCTTTTGTCACTGAAATAATTCTTATCACAGCCAGACTCAGGTTCCCAATTCCCTGATCCTTCCCCAGGACTGCCCAACAGCCAAACTCAGCTAAAACAACCTACAGACAACACATTTCAGGACCTTGCTCCTTCAACAGGCAGATTTTGCATGTGTCTCATGAGGACAAGACTCAACCTGCACAGACAAGCTGCTCTAAGAGAAGGCTGGATTTCCTCACCATGAGATGAGACTGAAGAGTTAGTCCTGGTCAGGGGCAGTGAGGTATTTTGGTTGGGTTTAGGCTGAATCTTCACTTGCTTCTGTTTCCCTTTTGGGCTGCAAACATAGAATATCCCAAAGAGAGAAATCTGTTATCACCACAGACTCAAACACAAAACTGATTTCTCCTGCAAAGTGATCTCTTCTTCCCAGGTGTGATAACACTAAAATAGCTACACCATGGTGCTGTTTGCTAAAGGTATAGGGAGTTTGCAGGGACAAGGTTTTATCCCCCCTTTTAAAACCAACAGTCAGTTTACTCAGATAATGTATCAGATGAAGGCAGGGAACTGTTACACAACATTTTTTCAACAGCTAAAAGGTAAAGAGACAGCTGATCTTTCATTTCCTCCAGAGGGAACACTTGTAACCACATCGTATTTCACTTACCAGAATTAGAAACTACAAATTGATTTTATCTCCCAAAAGAGCAAGTTCATCAGGAAATGAGCAACACTGCTGCTGGTTATTCCCAAAAGCACATTACCCCTGTGCTCTGGAATGGCAGTGCCAGCCAGGCTCCCCATGCCTGCTTTACCTGGATGCTCTGCTGGTTGAGGGGGAGCTGCTGCTGCTCCTCAGCCGTTTTCGGTACCGAGGCCTTTTCCTCTTCTGGCATTGCATTGCTGACTTGTACTCAGAAATGATGTTTTTCATGTGGTTCTCAAATAAGGCAGAGAGTCGAAGGGTCATGCTATAAATCTGCAGTGAGGAAAAATGGTCAGGCTTATTAGAGTTGAATAAGTTGAAGATCAACCAAAAAACTATCACAGAGATGTCCAGACTTTGTAGCACAAAGAAAAAATTCACACTGAAGTTCCACTATAAGGCTCTTTACAGATTATTTCCTTCCATGGGCCATGTGTGTTCTTGCAAAAGAAAGTGTTTTCTTAAAAGGATTTAGTAACAGCACAAAGTATTTCCAGAGCTGAAGGAAAATGGATTTCTGGATTACTGTCCCCTTTGTCAATCCCCATGAAACATGGAATGCCCCCTTTGTCAATCCCCATGAAGCACAGAAGCAGGCCTTAAGATAACTTGAATACCAAGGGAAAAACAATTGGATTTCACATCTCCTCACATTTGTTTTTGCACTACATCCCTGGTGAACTGTCCTTATACCACCCTTACAGAGCTACAGAGAAGCAACCCAAAATGTCCTCATTTCTAATTTCTGTAAACCAGATGTCAAAATCTTTAAATCACTTTCCTGTCCTCTTTCCAGGCCTTGCTTTTGTGTAGCCTCATCCACAATATGTGCAGTTATCAAGCTGATAGCCTTGTTTACAGGGATAAATTATTGAAAAAATAAAAGCAACTGGTGACCAGTGTTCTGTTACAAATATTTCAAGGAACAACTGCAACAGTGACCATCGTCCCAGATGAAAATGGATGTTAGATATCATCTGGAAGAGCAGAACAAAACAAGTTGATAACCACAGAATTGGTGTGTCCTGGTTATTTTTATTACACCAAGCAGTGCTTTGCTCTTCAGACCTTATTTCATGTGTTTTATTCATGTAGGGCCAAGGTCTTTGTTAAAAAAAAAACAGGCATTAAAATTTATTACTTACACGAGACTTTTTATTAGGAGTGTAAGCTTTAGAGTTGCAGAATATTAAACGAATATCTTTGTAGAATTCCAAGGGACTGGTGTAGTTTCCTGCTTCCAAGGTTTCTTTCACAGTGCTGAAGTCCATGGGAGTGTCTACAATATCTCGATAATCCTGTGAGAACACACAAGAGAAAAATCAAAGCTCTCAAATCCTACAGCAGCAACATCACCTCAGCGCTCATCCAGTGGCCCAAATCATTAGTTTACTTTCAGAGCTGTTGCAGATAATTCCCTGAAAACATCAGCTCATAAAGGGAGAGGACAGAGCCATGCCCAGCATGGATGTTCTGCCAAAGGAGGAACAATTCTGGGTGTGGAGGCTGCACTTACAGGGTAAGAGAAGAGATCAACAGGCTGCCTGAAAGGCTCTGAGTCCTCTCGTTCATAAATCAGGTTTAAGAGCTGCTGGCACTGCTCCTTCCAAGCATCAGCACTGGCTTTCATGGGCTGCCTCTTCACCCTTCGCCTCACCTGCAGGGAAACAGGTACTGCAGATGGTATCACAATATTCACATTATTCCCTTGAAGTTCCTACTAATCTCCCAGCATTCTGCAATTAAAGCATTACCCAATTAAAAACAGAAATCCAGAAAGATTAAAGCAGAGCTGATGGCACAGCAATATGCAAATGAGACAAATCAAACAAATTTGCCTTCTCTGGTCATATATAACTCTCAGACCCATGAGAAGCTGCAATATTTCAGCTCCAGCCTTGCTATATTTATCAGTTGCACTGAAATTTGAGTGCTGGAGATATTTTCTTTAAAATCAAATTTTTTTAAAAAATGACCACAGCAGAAATTTTACTCACTCGTCTCTTCCCAGAGGAAGTGCCTGGAGCATCTGAATCCACATCCACTTCTGCCACCTAAAGGCAAAGGGAATGATCACACACAGGCAGGTCTGGAGAACCCTCAGCCATGGAAAAAGGGTTAAAAACCAGCCAACAACAACCACAGGGCACTTGGCAACAGGAGCTACAGCACATTTCAAACTGCACTGAAGGGGAGAAGGTGTCAGGAGAGGGAAGCAGCTCAAGGCAGTGATATCCACCCTGGATTCTACCTGACATTTCACTCCAGGGATCAACTGATGGGAAATGACACAGAATTACATAAGGAAATCAGCTCTGCTGCCTCGCTGACAATGGAGAGCTGTTGTCCTTCTGACTGAGTAACAGCTCCACTTCCCAGCTCCCCTCATTACTCATCCTTCCCACAAAACATCATGTACTGAGAGAAGATTAAAGACAGGCAGTTCCAAGAAGCATTTTTACTTCAGGGAGCTTATTGTCTCAGGTGAGCCTAAACAGCCTCATCTCCAAATCTCAGTGCAATTACCCATACAATAAAGACTCAACAAAAATAAATTTTCTTTCATGTGTTGAATTTTAAAAAGGAAGGAAATGATCTTACCTCCTCTTCCTCATCAGTACTGCTCAGGTCTTCTGCTTTCACCTTGTTGTAGATTTCTAATATATCAGTGCAGCTCTGATCTCTGCAGGACAATGACAAAAACCAAGGAACACAATGAAGGATCCCAGGAATTGGAGCTGTGGGGTCTGTGAGGTCCAAACTCACCCAATGAAGCGGAGCAGGACATCTGTCACAATTTTGGCTGCTTTGACTATGGGGCTGTCTGGCTCGTTGAAAGTCCTGGCATTGTGTTCAATGTATCTTACCTCCCACATCAGGGCAGAGATTCTCCTGAAAAATACACAAAATTTAAGGAATGGGATGGACAGGAAGGTGTATGTTATTTTTATTTCACGTTCAGTAGGATTCTTTGGTAAAAAAATGGAATTGGGAATTCAGATCAAGCAGAAACAGGTTGTCCTCAGAAGGGAAAAAAGAAGCAGGACATTATGTATTCCCAAACTAACTGGGAAAGCTGAGATTTCCAGTATCATTCAGTCCCCTTCTGGCAACTGCAACACAAGCAAAGCCCCTGCTCAAAGGCAGCAGGGATGGAAACAAAGCAAACATGCTCTGCCTCCAACACAAAGCAGGCTCAGGGTGTTCAACCAACACTCCAGATCCAGCTACAGCAGCTTTTGCTTTATCAACATGGCCAGCAGAATTTATTATTCAGGAAGACTCAGTTTGCCCAAGGCCAATCTGATCTTCTGCAGTTGCTGAAGGGACTTTAAACAGCATTCAGCTCCACATAGTAATAAATGCAATAAATGTCAGCTACAAACCCAAACTCACCTATAAAACCTGTTTTCAAGCCTCCTCCTGATGGTGGTGAGGTCAGTTGGATAAGCAACAACAGTGCAATACATGGGATAGGCACTAAGGTCCACTGGAACAGCAAAGGGATTAGAAATGTCTGCAAGACAAAAGACCACAATGATTGAGATGCCTCCAAGGGATGTTCCACCAAGATTCCTTTTAATGGTTTCTGGGGTTTCCTTCGAAGAATTCAGCAAAAGCAACGCAGATCTACAGCTGAGAATGTCATTACCCACAGGGCAGGGTTCCTCCTCTTGTACCATCTATTCCTGCTCTTGAAAAAGCACTTTTTGTTTAAGTATCACATCTGAGATTTGTGTGCCAGCAGCCAATCTGACTGAAAGGAATCAGGCATTTGCACTTACAACAGGAATACTACAACGTGCAGCATTGAGTAAGACACAGACACGTCCTGGGTGTAAACAGAGGCAGAATTTAAAGTACAGTGTGCTATTAAATGGTTGTAACAGCAGTTACAAGTAACAAACCAGTTACAAGGAATTCAGAGGTGAAGGTATTTAGTGAGGATTTGTTGGCTGTTTTGAGGGGTTTAATTATATGTTTTGCTCTTTCACCTTTATATATGACCCACCGGGGAAGCTCCACTGAAAGAAATCAGGTGAAGCCCCAGGAAAAAAAAGGGACTTTAGATTGGAAACTGAAATATGAAATTTAAAAGGCTCTTTTCAGTAATTTAGTTGAGTACATTTCAAGTCCCAGCACTCCAGCCCATCTACTCTCCAGTCCTGTGCTCCCTCCCTGCTATTGTTAATCCTTCCCCCTTTTCTCTCCAAACATACCAAGGGAAAGAAGCTGCTCAATCCCTCGGATTACTCGTTCACATTCTTCATCTCTGGAATGGGCCCCCCACTCTCCCTCCTGGGGCTTGTAGAGAAGAGCTGTCAGCTCCTCTGGGGTCACAGGAACTCCAGCACCGACCTCCTCCGGATAAGCAGCTGCAGAGGAACAATTCCAGGGGGTAAATGCAGGGCCCCAGGGCTGTTTGCTTTGTGCAGGGACAGGAATCCAGCACACACTTACTTCCTTCTGGGATTGGCTCCATGTCCCATGGACTCATCCTCTCTCTTTCATTGTTGTCCCAGCTATTAAAAAATTCATTCAAATGCACAAGTTAGAGCTGAATATAAAGACACACCTTTTCTTTACCAGATTTGACCCAAAAGGTCACTCCAGTTAGGAATAAGACATTCCAACTCCTTATTTTCCTCTTGTACCTCCTATACAGTCACTGCACTGCTGTTTATACCACAATTGTTGCTTTAGGAATAAATTTAAAAAATTTTAAAAATTAAATTAAATTAAATTCAATTAGCAAAAAATTAAATAAGTAAATATTCTAAAATAAATAGTAAGTAATAAATAAGAAGTACAATATCTGAAATTAAATAAATAAATAAAGTGTCTGGGTATGTATTTAAATGGAAAAAGAGATTCTAATTCTTGAGGTTCTTGATCCTATTTCTGAAGTTCTCTGAGTTGTGTAGGAGCCCCAGGACATGGGAATACTCACTGGACACTGTAGCACTGGAAGGAACTATCAGGATACTCTGCCTGGAAAGGCTGCTGACTTTCCACAGTCCCAAACCACCAGGCATCATCAATGATACTGCGAAACCGATCCCCTGCAAGGGCAAACATTGCACTCAGAAAAACAACAACAGCAAGAATTGCTAAGTATTTCCTTTTAGAGAATCAGCTCCCTCTTTTGTCAATGCTCTACTTCCATCCCTGCATTTTCCAGCACAGGAATTGAGCTCTTACCCTCAGGGCAGGACTTGCCCATCTCTGGGAATTACCCACAGCTGCCTCACACCTCAGATCCCAACAGATCAGGAGATTCTCCTGCTATCATTGCCCCTGGAACAGTTTCTCTCATTTCTCTCTTTTTTCTTTGCTAGAGGAATTGCAGCAAACATCAAATAAAAGTTTCCAATAATCTTTACAATATCACGTGTGTATAGTCCTTTACATCATGTAATAAAGACACTGTGTCCCATTAAACAGCTGCAGAAATGGTGCAAAACACATGGAATTGGGAAAAAAAAACCTCACCTATTTGCCAGTTCCTTTCTTTGGCTTCATTATAAAACTGATGCAGCACAAGGAAATCAATAACATCTGGCATATCATGGTACCTTCAGGAAATAAGACCAAACAAAGTTATTATTACCCAGAAATGCAGTTCTAGATGAACTGCACAGTCCTCAAATTCCATGCATTTGGGATAACCATTACTGCCATCATCATGCCTTGCACAGGAAATAAGAAAGGAGGAGGGGGGAGCATCTACACTGCAAGGAAAGCTCTTGAAGAATGTAATCAGCATTCCAGTGACTTACTTTATGGAAAAGGATTCTCCTGTCATTTTGCCTGTGATTGGATCCAGGAATGCAAGCTTCAAGCAGCAGAGTGTGGGAGGCCCAACTTCATATTTAATTCCTACAGTCTTCACAAATTCTTGTTCCTAGTTAGCAAGAAGCATGGAACAGCATTATTTTATCTTGCCAAAAACAAAAATATCCATTTTTAACTGAAACATATTAATAAAACCCAAGTATGTTTCCACTCTACAGCACAGGTAATTTCACCCATTAATTTTTCTTTCCCCAATACTAAAATCAATCACTGTCACCTCAAAAAGAAAAATGAAGAAGCTCATTCCCTTGGCAGGTTTATGAACAGGATTCCTACAAATTATTTAGGAAGGTTCTAAGGAACAAACTCAGTTTTAAGCACACCAAAGACTCTCCCTGAACTATTCCAGGGCCCCTCACTCTTGCACAGTGGGAAGAAAGGAAATTCTTCCTCTGAAAATGGGAATTCCACAATAGCCTTTATGTTCATGTCCTGTCAAAGCCCATCCTAAGTGAACAGCTATTTCCTTTTCCTCACAAATTGATGATGCCTTGGAAAATCACAGCTGGAAAATCACTGAATATCTGGGACTGGTAACTGGGTATTCTCCCAGTAAAGCAATTACTTTCATTAACAGAACCACTGGCATGGTTAAATGATTATGAGCATGTATATGGGCTCTTCTCTTGATAAGAAATCTGAGGAAAGCAGGAAAAAATAAGGAATACTGCGGATTAAGGCTGGGGAGCTCATCCAAAGCAAGATCCAGTGTTTCAGAGAACTCCTGCACACATTTAGGTGTTTACACCATGATTTCTTACCACAGCACTAAAAACAAGAAACAGAACCCAAATGCTCAGGTCACTGTAGAGTGGTGAGAGAACCACAAGCAGCTCTGCAGTGCTGGGTTCTGAATTAATTCAGTGTTCAGGAAAAAATAATTTGTGTGAAAAGAGACCCCTGAGAATCAAATCCAAAACCAGGAAGTAAACAGATGTAAAGACTTTGTGTTAATAAAAAACAACTTTAATATTTACAATTAAAACTTTAATATTAGCATTTTAAAGCAATCCTTTCTTCACATTTTTCATGTTGGTTTTTCATGTCAGTTTAACATTACAGAGACATTCAGCTCTTTGAAGTATTTCTTGAACTTACCCTGAGTTCCATTTTGTTCCATGGTTGTTTTTGCATGTTAATACTGTAAATTTTGGCTTTCCTCACTGCCCTCACATAAGCTTCATGGCCTTGCCTAAAGTAGATGATCTTAAAAAAGAAAAAAAAAGAGAAAATTAAAAGAGAAAAAAAGAGCAAATGAGAAAAGGAGAGAAAATTAGTTTAATGACTGTGCTCTTCCTGTTCATAATACCAGGTCTTATCCCTTTGAGAACACATTGCACACTTATTTATTTCATCATAAAACACTCTTCTAATTAAAAATATTTATATCAGCCAAATTGGCACCTGCTCTGTGCTTTAAAACTGAGATCATTAAGAAATGTGCAAGTGAAGATGCACAACTGATTTTTCATGTTAATCCCAATTTACCTGTGCAGAAAAAGGGGCACAAGACATTAATCTGTAAGCAACAAACTAGCTGGGAATTAACGAAGTTATCAAAACTCAGCCGGTCCTGAGCACAATTTCCTGCAAATATTGCTGGGCAGAAGAGTCCAAAGCAAGCAGAGCTGCTGATTGCAATGTGGAAATGGGGCTGTGTATTCTATTCCATCTGTCAGAGGTGGGGCAGTCATCTTCTGCAATTGGGCAGTTTTCTTTATCTCTCCCACAGCCAATCCTCCCTGCAGGAGATCTCTGCTGTTCATGGGCCATTAATTATTAATTATCTTCTGTCCATGGCCAGTGAGTGTCCCTGCATGGCTGATCCAATTCCAGCACCCCACAGGGAGATGCTCCACCCAGGGGAGGAGCCAAGCATTCCTACCCGGATAGAATCTGAGGTTTGGGACACCACAGCAGCCTTTGCCCACTGCATTCCCACAGGAGCAGCCCTTTCCCAGTGGATTCCCAGAGGAAAACCAGGCCTATCTACACCACCACTGGATCTTCAGTGGAAAACTCCACCCTTCTACAGGATCACTGCTTTACAGAACCACATCTGTCACTCCAGGAGGGCTCCAGCCACCATTTAATGGGACTGCCACCAACACCCATCCCAACAGCGTGTCAGGGCGTGTTCTGACTCTGGCAGTGTTGTTTTGTATTACTGCATTGTTTTTGGGGTTTTTTTGTCTTCCCTAATAAAGAACTGTTATCCCTGCTCCCATATCTTTGCCTGAGAGCGCCTTAATTTTAAAAACTACAACAACTCAGAGGGAGGGGGTTTACATTTTCCATTTCAGAGCAGACACCTGGCTTTCCAAACCAGGACAGGGCAGTACCTCATCCCCCATCTGGGGCACGAAGGGCGAGCGGCGGGGAATGGTGTCCAGGATCCACTGCGGGGCCAGCCACTCCTCACTGGGCTCCCCTTCCAGGGACAGCAGCCCACTGGCTTTCTAAACACACGTCAGGACATTACACAGTAAGTTACATACAGAAGTTAAATATCTGCATTAATTCAGAATGCAATCAACACAATATTCAGAGTACAGTTAATTACTATGGAAAACTCATCGCGCAGCAGTTACTGCAGGTAAGATACAAGGAAGAGCAAATTGTGGAGTGTCGTCCTTCCCAAAATCTCCACTAAATAGACAGGTTTGTTATAAATATAACTGAAAATTAAAACCTTCACAAATCATTAAAATGCGTTAAAACATCCATAAATCATTAAAATGCCCATGGCAGGGGGGTGGGATAAGATGATCTTTAAGACCTCTCCAACTCAAGCCAGTCTGTGGTTCTATAATAAAGAAATAAATTGTATTTTTATAAATATTCTAAATGTCTTTAAAAAAATACCAGGAAAAAGACATCTAACCATGTCAATACAATACAGATCCATTATAATTTTACAACAAAACCACCCTGTTGTAAACCTGAATGTGGTGAAGAGCATAAATCTGAGAGGAAGAAAATAGCATTCGAAATGAGGAACCACCTGTGGGAAACATGGAAGCCCAATAAAACAAACAGAAAAATTTCTTTGTACCACTGGTAGCACAATTACTGCAATTATGCTGCAATATTTTTTTACTCTGTGCCCATTTATAAAATATTTTACTTTGAAAACAACCATTAAAACATAAATTTATATTCTTGAAGTACAAAAGACACTAAGAATTACACGTGCTGACCTTCTTCCTTGGCTGTTTCAGTTTCCTTCGCTTTGGCTCCAGCCCTTTTGTTCCCTTCATATTTTCATCTTCAGAACTACTACAGATTTTCCGAGCTGCCTGCCTGGTTTGTCTCTTTGGAGGCTGCAGATTAATCCCAGCATCTGCTGTCCAGTCTGAATATTCACTTGATGAATCACTGTAGATAATAGAAAAGTTGTAAGAAAGAGAACAGAAAACTTCAGTTTCCCCACAGGGGACTGAAAAGTCCAAACATTCAACCTGTTCTCCTGGTTCTGCTCAGGATTAGCACAGAATTTTGTTATCATGTGAATTTAAAGAAAAACAAGTGCTCTCTGATTTGTGATTTCAGTAAATTCTTTTATCAATTTGAAACTCACAGTAAAACTACATCTATGGTTGATACCAATTCTTATTATCTCACTGATTCACAGACTGACTTCATAAGAACTGGCAGCAAAAAATGCATGGAACATTTAAAGAACTAGAGCACTTCCCTAAAAATCCAGCTCTGACTTCTTTAATACCAAATAATACATATACAGGATTTAAATGGCAAACTGGCATTGATTTTTTTCAAGTAGCTCTTAATTAAAGGCAATGTCTTCTTATAAAATGTTTTTTAGAATAGTTTTTGACTTTGAAAAAAAAGGAAGAGAAAAAAAATCACAATATGAAATGTTTCATGACTAACTGGTTAAAAATCAGTCTTCAAGATGAAGTCTGAATATCTCAGTACCAACTGTCCTATTTAAATCCCATAATAAACCAGTGTTCCCAGTTCAGAGCCCAGTGGAGGTACCTGGAACTGCTTTCACTCTGCCAGGCTGCCACAGGATCATCCATGGATGCATCACTTGTGCCAACAGTCTCATCTTCCTGTAGTAAAAACAAGAGGATTCACTCTGGGGCCAAGGGTAAAATGTATCATTTTTGTTTGCAAGCAAGTTGTGTCACACAAGAAATGCTTTCCATTCAAGGCTGGTTTAGCTTTAAAGAAATAAATCCACAAGTTCTTCCTATACCTTAATTAATATTATAATATATCCTTATATAGCTCCTTTAGAACAAATGTGAATTTTAATTATATCAGAACTACAGAATGACTTCTTCTTTAAGTGCTTGATTAATAAATTTTATGCTCAGGGCCCAGCTTTTTGAGCTGCTCTCTATTTTCAATGCATTTACAAAGCAGCAATGTTCACTCTCTTCCTTAAGAAGAACAAGTTATATTTATCTGGTATATTTTAAGTTCTTCCCTTGCCAAAATCAATGATAAATACCAATACTCAATCTCTTTCAACAGCAGTCTACAGATGTAGATGAAATCAAAGCACTGCAAAATGAAATCAAAGTCCTGACCCAGAATCCATGTGCTGCATGAAGTCCCAAAATAGCAAGTGGTTTAACACAACCCAGTTAAATTTACTTGAAAATGCTCCAGGTTTCCAAAAATACAGGAGCTGTTTTAAGCTACTTTTGAACCCTGTCCTGGCATTTAGGTAAATGATCCTTCACTCTCCAAAACCAACATGCCACAGGAACACCACAAATCCCAGGGACTCAATGACCTGAGTGTTTCTTCCCATGTGGAGAATCTCAGAATATCCTGAAGGGCTGGAAGGGACCCACAAGGATCAGAGCTCAGCTCCTTGCCCTGCCCAACAATCCCACCCTGTGCATCCCTGGCAGGGCTGTCCAAACCTTCCTGGAGCTCTGGGAGCCTTGGCGCTGTGCCCTGGGAGCCTGGGCAGTGCCCAGCACCCTCTGGGGGAAGAACCTTTCCTGCTCTCCAGCCTGAGCCTGCCCTGGCACAGCTCCAGCCATTCCCTGGGTCCTGTCCCTGCCACCTCCTCTCTGGGTTCCCAAGACTGCTCAAAAAACCATCAAGAGAGGCTCTGTGATAGCATCAGCAGCAATTTGAGGATTCTTGGATGAATTCTCTCAGGCCCCATTGATTTGCAGGAATCCAGCTGGAGCAGATCCCACACAAGCTCAGGGCTGACTGGAGTTGATCACTCTCACTCATGGCCCTCCAGCTTAGAGCACTGGGACCCCCTTGCTCCATCATCCATGCTGAAGATGGAGACAAAGGATGTGCCAAAGGTTTGTGAGGCGACCATTCCCATCCTAGAACGGGCCAATATTATTTTTACACTGCCTTTTGCCACAAACACATTTGAAAAACCTATTTTTACTGCCCCCCCACCCCAGTCCTGGCAGCTCCTGCTCAAACTGAGCATCAGCTGCACAAACTTCCTCCCTCCAGCAGACACATGGAACCTGAACATGGATTTGGGAAGGGGGAAGCTGCTGGAGGCTGCTGGGAGGCTCAGACCTCAGAGGAGCTGTCGGAGTCGTGGCGGGCACAGGGGTTGTGGCTGGCTCCCTGCTGGCTGTGCTCGATGGTGGAGCGCGTCTGGTACGCGTGCTGCCGCTTCCGCTGGTTCCTGCGCAGCGAGCGCCCGCCGCCCGCCTGCAGCTCGCTCTGCCAGGGCAAAACAGGGACACATCAGGGAGCCACTCAGCAGTTTTACACACTAAAGAAGTGCCTGGTTACAGTGGCTGAGCGTTGCACCCCAGTCGCAACCGAGCAGTAAGAAATCCTTGTGCAATTAGACAATATCTCTGACACACTGCGGATGTTTCAGGTGCGGATTCTTGGTTTAACAGAAATTCTACTTTATAAAGTAGCAGTCTTTGGAAAGGAAATTATTAAAAATACCATTCTTTTCTATAAAATTCCTGCAGTCTCTGCATAAGATAAATCTAGCCCTTGTAAAAGTCTGGCACCTCTGCTTTCCACAAGTCGAACTGAAAACCCACCGTGGCTCTGCGATTTTCCTTTCCCAGCATCTTCCCACCACCGAAACCCCAAGGATAGAGATTTACCACTATTTGGATATTACAGACAGCCAAATCACAGTTACAGAAGGAAGAAGACAGTGAGCCAGAGAAACAATTAGGACTATTGATCTTCTAAATAATTCAATAAAATTGGTTTGGGGTTTTTTACTGGTCTTATTTTTGTTGCTCAGAACTGCTTCCCACCCACGCTGTCTCTTCCAGAGCACTAACTCACCCGTTGTAATGTGTGGGATGGCTTTCTCTTCTTGTCAGCAGTGTATAAACTGATTTCTATTTCACCTTTGGCAGCTCGACATTCTTCCTGGACCCTAATTATACACAAGAAACAGACATTATATTCATTAAATCATCATGGAACTCAACAGCCTCCTCAACATATACATTAAAATACTTGTGCTGCTCTAAGAAATCTGTGCATAAAACCCCCTAGCAGAATCCATCCATTTGCTTCTGGAATCACAAGTTAAAGAAACAAAGTCATTAGCTGAGCAGCCATAATTATTTTCCAATGTATTAAAATTATTTTCAAGTCTTTTTAAAATAAAGCTTGAGGAAAATGTGGTACTTGGAGTACTGAGGAAAGACTGGATCGTGAAAAGAAGAAATTACCATTCTCAACTCCATTCTGATCCCAACATTCCAAACAACCCAACCAACCAAGTGCCAAAGCCCAAAACTTATTCCAGGAGTATGAAAGGATCATTCCACATTCCACATCCCACTCCCATTGAGCCTCTTACTTGCTGATGCCTGGAGGGAGCTCGTTGACCACCACCCTCCTGCTCCAGGCCATGAGGTCCCTCTCGGTGGCCATCTGGCTGCGGGGTGCGTTGAGGTGCATCTGCCGCACGCCCTCGATCTGCCCGCTGCGCCGCAGCCCCACGTTGGGAGGAGAGGCCACCTCCAAGCCCGGGCTGCGAAGGGCTGGGAGAGAGAAAGAAGGAAAGAGCTTCTTCACTTCTATGGACCACCATAAAATCATGGACCCACAGGGTGGCTGGGCGAGGAGGGATGTTAGAGATGAAACAGTGCCAGCCTCTGCCATGGGACACCTTCCACTAGCCCAGGGTGCTCCAAGCCACGTCCAACCTGGCCTTGGGCACTTCCAGGGACGCAGGGGCAGCCACAGCTTCTCTGGGCAGCCTCCCCACCCTCACAGGGAACAATTCCTTCCCTGTATCACATCCACAATTTAAAGGCACAAAGATTGATAAACAAAGATTGATAATAATGGAATCACTGCTATAATTGTCCTTACTTTTCCTTCACGACTCCCACAGGCTTAAATGCTGTATATCAAATTATAATATTGCATTTATGGTTGTGCAAAGATATATAAAAATATCTGGCTGTCTAAATACTTTAAGCAAAATCCAATTAACTTACTCAAATGGGCAGTTCATGTGGGCAAAGTCACTGACCAATGCAAGCTCCAGAAGGGAACTGCTTTGATTTCCACACTGCTCATATCTGAAAACTCCTTCACACAACTACAGGGACACACAAATAAAACTAGGGCTGTACAACACATCAACATATCCTAAGCAGCAGAAAAGACTTTGTGTGAGCTGAAACTGCCTTTTAGGCAACCTTTTTGAAATATCAACTTAGATCAAAGAAAAAATGCATTTTCATATTTTTCCCTGATATTTTTCTTACTCCTTCTTGGATTGAAACACAAACAATTCCACATCCAAATCCTAATGAGCTTTGCCAGGAAATCTACTTCAAACACATGTAATCAGTCACTTAACCTAGAAGTGATTTATTAGCAGCTGTGAATTCTCCCAAGGCTCAGTCTGACTTGCAGCACAGTGCTGGGCGTCTGCTCCCTCCCATCAGCTGCACTCACTCAGCTGCTCACATCTGATTGAGTGTGGTTTCAATTTTTAATCACTCTGTGTATTAAAAATAAAATCACAGTAGCAGAACACTTACCAGGAGAATAATCTCAAGCTTTCTAAGGAAACACTAAGACAGAGCAACATGTTTATTTTATTAGCACTGATGCTCAGCCTTGTGCTGCAGCAGGAAACCATTAGTCTGTCACAACACTGTATTCCACTGACAGCCCCTAATTATATGCTTTCATTTTGGCATTTTGCAGTTATGAAGCTTCATCTCTGCACTGATATCAACACAATACAGTGAACTTCATGCTTATTTTTCAGGAAACTGGTTTATAGCAGGAATAATTCCAGTCTAATAACTCCAAACAATCAGATACAGCCCAGTTAGACCATTGGGTGCCCTCAGCTGCCCCTTAAATTTATAATTCCCCTGTTGGAATCCACAGAACATCCCAGTGCTCCACAGGGGTTAACAAGGTGTACAAGAGGAGGAGAGAAAAGAACTTCAAAGACAATGTGTCAGAACTGACATTAACAGTTTGATAAGTCCTTCCTGTGATAAGGAAGGAACTGATGAAGATAAGGCTGGTCACTGACCTCCATTAACAGAGTGGGATCTGTTGAGGGGAGGATTTGGAAGAGTTTCTCCTTCATTAATTAGTCTCAAATCTTGTTCCCTCTGGAGCTCTCTGATCATTCCATCAAGGATACTCTCATCCTGGTCATTGGTTTGCTGCCCGATGACTTGTTCAACCACCTCACCATCACCTTGACAGGAACAAAACCACAAATGCTGATTAAATGATGGATTTCTGTATTAGCAAACAGCACAGAAATAAAATAATCCCATTTAAAACTCTGCACCATAATTTGTCTGCTCTGCAAAACATCTGATCACCAGCTGGCTTTCTGCTCTCATGTAATAAATGGAGGCAAAGTTTAGAAGAGAAGTTACAATAAAATCCTAAAACTCCAGACCACATGTAGAACATAAACACAAGCCATTAGAAACAGCAGAAAGAAATAATGCTTCAGTAGGTAAGAATGGAAGGTATTTCTGGAGATCAACATTTTGCCTAAAGTTTGTGTATGGAAGAAAAAATAACTCTTTTACAAAACAAAAGCTGGCTTTCCATGTCCTCCCCACCTTCCTGCTTGCTTTCTCACATCCACAGTTACAGAGGTTAATAGACAATGCTTTGAACATCTGCCATATACCTGGGGAAAATCCACAGATTTTGGAATACTCTTGCCTCCAGTGAATTTGATTCCACACATAACCCCACCCCACCCTACCCTCTCTTCTACCTGTATATTGAATTTAAACCATTAATTTCTACATCCTCACAGCACCATCCCAGGAGCTGGTGCTCCATACTGTGCCACACTTGTATTATTCATGAGCTTCAGACAGAATACCATTAGCCACATATCCCAGCTGAGGAATAAGTTGTTCATCCTTGCAATTTTCCCTCCCTGGCACCAGCCTCTGGAATCTCGTGGGATGAGGATTTCCATCAACATCCACCAGGAATGGAGGAGGCATAAGGTGTGGAGCCTGTTGAGTCTGCTCATCCAGCACATAATTATTGGCATCCCGGATCAGGGGCCGGTAATCCGTGTGGAAGAACATCTGATCAGGAATCTGAAAGAGAAGCAATTCAGGAAATAAATCAATGGCCATTTGCAGCTGCCTTGCTGCTCTGGAATGGCTCCCATAAAGCACAGCTCCTACATGTGGGATCAGCACAAGGAATGTTGTGACAGAGAGCAGATTCCTACCACAACTGTGGTTTATTACCAAGGCCTGATGCAGAAATTCAACAGTAAAATAGGCCAAGAGAGGTGGACAGAGGAGTAAATGCTTTTCTCCTCTATCTATAGAGTCTCTTGTCTAAATCTTTTTGATTTAGATAAACAGCAACTACTCCATGACCTAATTATTATTTTGTCTGGGGCAGGTTGAGGGAATAAATTGTAACACAAATACTTCTAAGACAAAATCAGGTCAAGACAGGGAAGAGTTTAAAATTCATTCAACCCACCTTTTCATAATATTTATTGCATCCAAAACCAAATAGTAGCAGATGTCCATGAGAGTCTGTGCAGGCAAAATGCTGCCCATCTGGTGAGAACTTGCAATCAAAAACAGCTCCATGGCCTTGGCCCTCAATCTGTACCAAGCACAGAGAATTCCTTTCACAACCAGACACTATAAGAGCATTTTCACAAACATTTCCCCTGTGCTCCAACACGTACTGAATCCTCATTCTGTGATTTCTTATCTTGCTCAAGAGTGATTTACACTTTTATTTATTAGAGTTAAACTGAATAACAAAGCAAAACTTCACATTTTCTCTCTGTCCTGAAATTTCAACACAACTTTTAATGTATGTTCTGGAACAACCACCTGGAAATCTACATTTTATGTTAATGGCAGTCATAGGGCAAGATCACCAAAGATCTCAGAACTGTACTGGCTCTGGAGGAATTTAATGAAATCTGCTTTTGTTTAAAGACCAGTTTTGTGAAAAAAGAAGAAACCAAACCTTCTGTGATGCTTCTTACCATGTTAAAGTAATTGCGAATTTTTGTTCCTTTGTCTATATCCCAAACAAAAATATTCCCATCGTGTCCCGCCGAAAGCACAATCCTTTGGTCAAAGGGATGAGCCTCCAGAACAAAAACTTCATCATCATGACCCTGCAATGACAGCAGGGGAAAAAAAGCAGTTTTATTTCCCCATGTGATACCTCCAGATGTGCTGGGAGTCACTGAGAGGACATCCCAGATCAGGGAGACACACATGACACCTCAATTTACTGGAACTGTGCTTGGTCACCCTTCCTGCCACAGGCTTGGCAGTGTCACTGCTCAGCACCACTGAGATGGGGAGGGTGGGGAGGAAGGAGACACCAGGGCACAAATGGAGCCTCCAAAGGGTTCCCAGCAGTCACCAGGATCCTGCACATCAGCTCCTGTCCCCATGGTGCACCCTCCTCCCAGCAGGCAGGGACAGCTGGATACTTCAACATCAAACCCCTGTCATGGGAATGGTGATGAGTTCAGCCTCAAATCAATCTCAGAGTGATCTACATCCACTTGGGATTGCCCCCTGGAATTGTACTCACAGATAAGCTATGGAGAAGCTGCCCTGTGGACGAGTTCCACACTTTGAGGAGGAAATTGTTGACTGCAGTGATGACGGTGGCATCGTATCGATCCCAAGCCACCATGGTCACCTTCAGCTTGGTGACCTTGTCCTCTCCAGATGCCACATTGTTTCTAAGGAAATCAGCAATTTAAAAAGGAATAAATCAGTAACTACATATGGAAACATTTAGAAGGCTAATTCAGTATGAAATCTGGGGGAGGATGGATCACAGGCACCTTTGTGACTCTGGCTAAGGCAGAGAATGAAGGATGGCTCTGCAGTGGTAAAAACCGAATACAGGAAATATTCAGTGCCACTGAGATTGATAGAGCTCTATTTCCTTAAAAAGGACATTTTCTCCTCTGTTCCTAAGCCATCATCCCTCCCTACCCCAATTTTTCCTTTCAGCTCTATTAGGCTTTTTCCTACAAGGCATTTTTCTTACCAGTCATCAATATCAGTAAACTCCACAATGAGCAGGAACCTGCTAAATAAATCCAACTCACACTTCCGACTGCAAACACTGCAAATGCAACCACTGAAATATGGAGAATTCTGCAAAGCAAGTGCCTAATGGATTTCTCAATTTCTGCTCTTGGTTGTTGTGAATATTCAATTACAATTCAATTACAGGGCATTTAAAGAAGTCACTTGAGGATCTCAAAAAGAAAAACTCAAAACCCTAATGGAACCTGAGAAACAAACACTAATTTCACCTCTTATCTGGAAACCTAAGGTAGAAATACAATGTTTAAAACCATGTTGGATATATATATATATTTATTTATTACCAAATGATTACTGGGGCTCTACCTCCTTCTGTGAGATAAATCATTTGACATTCTTATTTCATTTGTAAAATACTAAATATTCCTTAACCATTAGGATAAGGAAGTACCAACAGATTATTATTTCTTTGGGGGTGAATTAACCACAACATTTTCAATAAATGCATGGAAATCAATTAGAAATGGAAGCAAATAACCAGTTTTCAATATAATGGAGGATTTAGCTTGCAGGTAAATGTGCCCACGAGGTGTGTTCTGCTTGCTCTGCTTTACCCTGTCATTTTTGTGGCCATATCCAGGACCAGACTCTTCCAGTCATGCTGATGGTAGTGCCAGATTCTTGCTGTTCCATCCCTGCTTCCACTGACAAATCTTAAGCTGTGGGGCAAAGGGAAAAAAAAGGCATGAAATTCTGAATAAAGATGGTTTCATCCCCACATGGACAGCAATAAATTTATATATATATACTTAGAAGTGTGTACTTGTGCATCTCTACTTCTCTCACTCCTGAGGTTACAATTTTCCTCTCAGATCCTGGAGGGTACAAGAGAGTTTCTAGCCCACAACATTAATTACATTTGGCTCCAGCAGCAGATGGCCTTGGAATGACTTCAATGTCGTAATTCATACGAGCTGCACATTCCCTTTTTAATGACATCAGCAAATCCCTGGAGCAGCTCAGAGTGGCAGCAAAGAAAGGGAAACTGAGTGCCAGGAGTCTGGCATAAATTATAATGCATTAACTGAGGGACAGGGTGAAGACAGGCAAGGGAAAGAGCCAAATGGAGCACAAGGAGGTTGTCCTGCCTGTGGAGCTGAACAGGAATATTTTCATTTTTAAACCCCTCCTCATTTAAAAATTTCAAGTATGCAGGAAATGTATTTAACCACATCATAATGCTTTGGCCATCAATGTAACTGAAATAAATTTTGTTGAGAAACTGGGGAAAAAGCTCCTCAAGTAATACATTTTGGAAGTATATTACATTTATATACAAAACTACATTTAAAAGGCAAATCTATTCAATTTTATTAAGTAATTGTTTCACCTTTTCAGTTTCCCTGATTTTTTTCAATGGGATGAAAAAGAGTTTGAAAATGCTTGTGACAAATTAATTTTCTTCTTAATTTTACTTCTTTATATTAAAATTAAAAGGAAGGTACCCCTTTTCCATTCAAAGTATTGTTACAGAATATAATTTTCAGTGAGTGTGTGACCCCCTTCCCTCTCACATGGCTTGGAAGGAACTGGTGGTACAATTATCCCAGCACATTCCCACATAATTCCACATGACAAAGCTCTCCAAGTACAGGTGCACAGCTACAGTTGGGCTTGGAAGGCTCATCCCTTAAAGGCACATCCCTTAAACCTCCTGCCCAGCAAAATAAGGAATAGGAGCAAAAGCTGAGATAAAAATATCTATATTTACTAACTTTTGCTTTAGACAACATTGATTACAATGCTCTTCCTCCTCAGGCAACCCCTATGGGGGCTACCTGGGAAGGTTCTTACACAGAAATATTATAAAATTTGGGTTCCAATTTGCTGTTTGACAGAAAAACCAAATTAAAAGCACAGTTACAGAACATTTTTGTTGTTACAGCAGAGGACAACGAGTTCGAGCTTGTGGACATGACACACATCTTGCAACACACTGCTATAAATTGTCCAAGATTAAGCCAAGCCCACGGGCAAATCTTCCTGTTATGCCAAATTTTCCATGAAATGCTGTTTGGAAAATTAAATGTCATCATTGTCAGGTCCAAAACCCAGCACTCACCTGTCACCGTTGTTACAGAACTGCACTGCAACCACTTTGTCCTAAACAGGAGGGAGGAGAACAACAGAAGTGAAAAACTCAGCCTAAAAGATCTCAATTATGAGATTTTTACTTAGAAAATTAAAAAAAGTGAAAAAATTCAAGTACAGAAAAGTTGTATTTGAAGTTAAAACTTCACCAGACAACTTGTGTTAAACACTGAAATAGGAAACTTCAGAGAGGTGATGGTTTCCTGCAATTTTTACACCTAACATGAAAGTGCATCAAAAAATTTACCCTTGCTTTATTAACACTCACAAATTATTGAGTAACAAATATTATGGTTTAGACATAGTTTTGCCCCTTTTTTAATTTGCCCAATACTTGTGCTGGCTCCATGATTTGCTCTCCTTACTCCCACTGATGTCTCCATCTCCTGGTAACTGGGATTTGTTTTAGGGGGGGCTGGCAGCTGTTTGCAGGATTAAGAGTGGATTTAAAGAAATTAAAGGAATTACAGCTTCTTCCAAACCTGCTCAATACAGAAAACATCCTTTTCTTTTGTGAGCTAAATACTTGTTAGATGAGTTGGCTTGGAGACTTCAAAGGGAGAGCCACGACTCCCACTGAAGCCCAGGGAATCAATTCAGACCTTGGGCTTAATCCATAAAATGTTCCTGAGGTGGTAAATTTGTAGTTTGAATTTTTATGGGAACATGTCTGCATTATCTGAAAAAAATATGCTTTTAAGCTTTATTTTCTAAATGAAGTCACCATTGTGACCCAAATTTTGACAGCACAGTCCAAATTCTGAATTACTTTGTCTTATGTGGATTTAACTAAACAGTCAACAGCAAGTTTAATAGGAAACAATGACATTGTGCATTAAAACTGTTTTAATTCTTCATTCCAACACAGAATTCTTTCAAGAATAAGGGAAAATCACCTGGACCCTCAGTTTTCTGGGGAATGAAATACATGAAGCCTACTTTGCATAAACCTCTGGACTCAGAGGGATTTAAAAATAAACATCCCACAAATTTCCAGGCATTTAAATACCACAATGTTGAAAGCCAAACAAATTCTAGACAGTAAATTAAAAAAAAATAGGATGTAGAGAAATCAAGTTCCTGAAATGAGGAAAAGAAGGAGGGAAAAAGAGATTTTCTTTTGGATTTGCCTCTTACCGTGTGAGATTCCAGCTCAGCCATTTTCTCTGGAGATTCTGAGCCCAAATAATAAATTCTTATCACATGGTCAGTGCTCCCTGTTGCAATGAACATGCCACCTAAAACAGAAAAGGAACAACTTTTTTAACTTAATTTACTTTAATTTGCTGCTTTCTTGTCAAAGCAGCAAACTAGTTTTAAACAGAAAATTTCAATGTAAACATGTTGAATATAATATTTAAATGCAGTTTCAATATCTGCTTGACACACATCAGAGAAATTATTGCTGAGTTGGGAAGTAGTGATTAAGGTATTTTATTGTAATTTCTTAACAATATTGCTCAAAAAGGGCACTATTGTGTGATTTACTGCATTGAAATGGGTTTAGTTACTTCAGGATTTCTGGCTTTAAAAAAGGAGTGCGACTCTGCAAAAGTTCTCAATTTCAAAAAGCAAATTTAATGAGTAATTATATCATTTTCTTTGTAAAAATCAGTATTTTTGCTCATCCAAAGCTGCAAAGGAGGTTTGTTAAGCTGAGATTTTCCAATACATTGAATCGATCCTCTGAGAATTCAGCCTAATTTGGAAGATTAGCAAAAGTGTAATCTTTGACAGAGGATTTCCACAACTTTTCACTCAAAAACTTTACAAGGTAAAGTCTTAAAAGGATGTTACAGAGAAATATTTCTGATGTGCAAAACAAGAGACTGAAAGCCTTGGAACTGGTCAAGATATTTTAGCTTAAATTACAGGAAGAAAGAGAAAGAGCAGCTTGAGGCAGACACTTTGCAGGGAAGATTTCCAATAATCACAATTTGACAGGAATAAAATTACTGGAAAAGGGTTTAACACTATTTATATTTAAAGAGAAGTAACAGAACTGTCACCAAAGCCCCAGATTCATGAAACAGCTGATGCTGGACATGTACCAGAACTGAAGGATGAACAGGAGATCTGAACACCAGGCCTGGACCTCTCTGCAAACTTCACAGGACGATCCCTACATGCAAAACACAGTATTTTTATTTTTCCTTCTTTATTCAACACAAACAGTTCCCTGCAGCTCAGCAGGTTGAGGCCAAGCTCATTTCAAATCTCTTAATTTTATAGTTCTCACCTAAGTTTGCTGGAATTTATTTTTCATTTTAGGAATTTCCTTCCTTAGTTTAATAAGAAAGCAGTAATTCTCTAGACTGAGAAGATTATTGAACTGATTTATCATTATCCTCACCACTTCAAATCTATTTGAAGCAGACCTTGCCAAACCATTATTCCAACAGCATTTCCCCCTGATTAAATATGGATTTGATGACATCTACATATGTACATTCTTCTGATTACAGGCAAATAAATTCTTCTGCCTGTACATTTTGGACAGGGATTTAATCCTGAATATAAAAGCTGGAATTTCTTCCACAAGTGTGGCTTGCAAAGCACAAACCTCAGAAATAACAACCCCAATCTCTGGACCCCTTTGGGTTCCAACACCACAGAACCCCAAAGTGCTCCTGCCCCACACACCAGTTTATTGAGCAAGAAAACACCCTTATTGCATTATCTCAGCATTCTCCTCCATGCCAAAATTAAAAATGAATTCCTCCTTGAGTCCAAACAATTGCAATTATCTCAAGAGTCTCACTTGAATTTCATGGTGTTTGCATGCCACTGCCAGAAGCAGATTGTTCCGTCGGCACCAGTGGAAGTGAGGTATCGAGTTGTTCCTTTCCTTGCTGGAGAGAACTGAAAATAAAAGTTGTAACAATTAAACCAGCTCCTATTTTCTCTTCTTTCACGCTGGAAACTTGTTGACAAGAATGTTTTTCACTAACACATTAGTTTCTCCCCAGGAGTACAGAGAGCAGGGGTAAGCACAGAACCTGAACTTCCAAAAAACAAAGCTGAGGAAATGGACAACACCTACATTTTGGTAAGGAATTCTTTGTTTGTACCACACAAGGGAAATTGGAGAAATGAAACAAGCCCAACCCTGTAAATGGGGCAAAACCAGTTCTTCCTAGGATAGAACTGGATCAAACATGGCAAACACAACTATTGCTGCATCCAAGCCCAATGAAGAACAGCTGCACAGCAGGATCCCCTCTCCTCTATCTTCCTAATTCCTGAACCTTTCTAAGGAGTGGGAAAGCTTTTTATTCTTGATTTCATAACTGCAGCAATACCTTTAATCCTCAGGCTACCTGGTAATTTGATAAAGGAATAGAGCACTGCTTCCTCAAAAAGCAGTGACTGGATCAAACACTCAGTTTTACAAAGAGCTTGAGAGAAACACACACACACATACATATATATATATATGCATACATACATAAAGATGTAAACAAATAATACACCAGTTATAAAGCCATTTCTAACACAATCACCTTTACATGGTTGAAATAAGACAAAACAGGAAGTGTAGGGAAAATGGGGAGAAATGAGACTCCTGGGGAATGCTGGCACGATGGAGAAGCCTGTGCTGAATCCAAGGCAGCACCACTCCAGGAGAGAGGGATTCTGAGCCAAACAGCCCCACTCACTCTCCCCTCTATGTGCATCACCTGCCAAATTGCAGGGATTGTCTTTTTCATCCTGGAATTTTATTTTTTTGGAGGCTTCTGCCTGGCAGTTGTGAAGTTGTTTTCAAGAAAATCTGCATTTGCTACAACAACCAGAACAGCTCTTTAAAACTAAGATAACAAGGAAACAAGAAATGGGGAGTAAGGAATTTTAACTGATCCTTCTGCAAAACAAATATTCTCTGTGAACACACAAGAGTGTTGGGTCAGGTGCTGTGCCAGGAGCACCACCAAAGATGCCAAACACGAGTTTGGCAAGGAGATGCTGCTGCTCTCTGAGTTGCTCTAGAAAAGCACCAGATCTCCCATTTTGTACACCTAAGGAAGCAGCAGTGGGATCACACAGCTAAAAGCACATGTAAGCAGGAGGATACTCTCCTGGGCACCACAGGATTGAGATAACCAGGAAAAACACCCTTGAGCTGGGACAAATCACAGCCAAAACCACCAATTTTATCCTTGACCGCCACAACTCTTACTACCATTCTAAGTGAAGGTTTTAGGGGAAAAGCTCATCATCCCCACCTGTATGGAAGTGATGGAAGCTGAGTGGCCCTGCAGGACTGCCAGGGGGGCACAGGTCCTGAGGCACCACACCCTGACCACCTTGTCACAGCTGCCCGCGGCCAACAGCGTGTTCTCGTAGTTGACGGCCATGTCCGAGATCTCGGCCGAGTGGCCGCGCAGGGTGGACAGCAGGCGCCCGTCATCCGTGGCCCAGATCTTCACCAAACAGTCATCTGACCCCTGGAACGGCACAGGAATTCCCAAAGGTTACAGGAAATATGGGACAGGTTCCATGCATGTCACACATGGATCACAGGGATGGACAAGATCACAACCCCCGTGAACCGACAGGACAACACTGTGGGATCCCAATGAGGTCCAATTTTAGGAAGAAATTCTGCCCTGTGAGGGTGGGGGGCCCTGGCATAGGGTGCCCAAAGAAGCTGTGGCTGCCCCTGGATCCCTGGAAGTGTCCACGGCCAGGTTGGACAGAGCTCAGAGCACCCTGGGCTAGTGGAAGGTGTCCCTGCTCATGGCAGGGGTGGCACTTTGAAATATTCCATCCCATCCAAACCATTCTGGGATTCTATGATTCTGTGAACTGTGGAGCCTGGGGATCATCATATGGAGTCAAGGATTTCAATTTGATAAAAGAGAATCATGGAATCACAGGATGGTTTATGCTGGAAATGGATCTATTTGGAAGACAGGGACACTTTCCACAGTCCCAGGTTGCTCCAAGCCCCATCCAATCTGGCTCCAGGGATGGGGCAGACACAGCTCTGTGGGCACCTTGTACCAGGCCCTCAGCACCCTCATAGAGAAGGATTTCTTCCCAATATCCCTCATAACCCTCTCCTCTGGCAGTGGGAATTCCTCTTTGTCCTGTCACTCCATGCACAGGGATTAACATCAACAGCTAAAAATGCAACACTCGTTTGAAAAATCTGCTGATTTTTATATATGCCCAACAAAAAGCAGGGGCATCACCACAGAAATGGATGTCACTGCATTCTGGAGAAAAACTTAAAATAATTGTCAAGTATTCACTGACACACTACAAATCCAGGAAGGTAAATTTAGTAGAAAAGCAACTTGCAGCTGAACAAAATCACATCTCCATCTCAATCAGTGACTGTTGAGGAATTCAAGAAAGAAATCAAACCAAACAAAGCAATCTTCACAAAAAAAAAGGTCCAGATTTTAAACTTACTGTAAAAATTCTCCTGCCACTGCGATCAAAGGCTATGCAATAAACAGAGGAGAGGTGCCCCAAAATCCTCTTGTGCATCTTCATGTGTTGGTAGGTGGATGTTGGGAACAAGTGGCTGAAACGGCCACATCCAGTTAATTGCCTGGCAGAAAGGATATGAACTGGGAGAGAAAAAAGAAGCAAAAAGAAGAGTGAGACATGAATTTTGTCCAGAACTCAGAGTAAATAAATATTAAATCAAATATAGTATTTATTAATGACTTTATTATTAGAATCAGCAATAAATCTGAACCTCTTCCACCTTATCAGAACATTCTGTCCAGTGTTATAAAAAGAAATCCCACTCCTGATGGAGCCTTTCAGTACCCACCACAGGTTGCACCTGCTTCCTTACCAAAAATACAAGCAGAATGAAAAGTTCCCACCACAACTGGGAGTTATTCCAATGTTCAGTTCATGAACAGGTAACAGATACATTTATCCTACATGGATGTGGAAAATCTTTAAGGAAAATCTTTGAAGGAAGAAAGTAAATTCAGGAAATTATGTTACTAGTATCAATTAGGAAAAGAGTATAATAGTTTTTTTAAGTGGTTTTTTGTGATAAAAGAAGTGATAAAAAGTGATAAAAATCTTTCTTTGGAATGGCTTTCAGATCACATCTGAGGGCCAAAGGACTTCCACATCCCTGAATTCCCAGGGCAGTGGAATTGAAGAACAAGAAACAGGTGGCACTGATGGAAAACTCCCCGTGGAGGAATGGCAGGTAGGAGACAGAACTGCAACCACAAAAAAATTCCTTCCTGTTTCCATAGCCAGCAGCCCTTCCAAGAACAGCCTAAAACCTGAATGCACCAACCCACTCTGCAAAAAGGCCTCTGGATGCAAAATCTGAGACCATTTTGGGGTATTTAATTCCACCAATCCTCTCCTATTTCTATTTTCCCGAACCTATCCTCACTCACAGCACTTGAACTTTGGATTTGGAAGTTGAGAGGGTTTTTCAGAGGCACTTGAGGATCTATCATTGCTGTGCTGGTGGGTCTGTGGAGTCCCTGTGATAGCAGATCCCCTGGAGCAATTCCTTATCTTCCCCTGCACCTTGATGTGGGCTGGGCTTCACAGGAGCCCCACAAAGCTCTTTAGTGCCTTTCACTCCTTCAGCTTAAAAGTCTAGTGAAAAACTCGAGCCATGTCTTAATTGTCTCATGACATCACTGCCAATCTACCCAAAAAAAGATAATGGAATACGTTAAAAAATTAATCTACAAAGTCAAGAAGAGCCATTTCAAAGAGTTCCTAACCCGTAACTCCTGGTGTAAATTGATACCATTGAAGTATTTACACACAAGCAAGGAAAAGAAATTGTTTCCAGCTTTAAAGAAAGCATTTTTGTGACTCAGTTTTAGGCTCTGAAATGTGGATTATTTTTAATCATTCAAAGCAATTGAAACATGACACAAGGGAAAAAAAGCTGCATAAAAGATGCTTGCAAAAGCCATCAGGCTCCAGCATAACCTCACCTTCAGTCAATATTTGCTTTGCATGTAAAAACACACATTCAGCAATACTAAAAAGCAAAACACACTAAAGCAAATTAATTTACTACCTACCTACTATTCAATTGATACCTAACATTACACAGGGCTGTTAAACCAAACTGTCACCCTGAGCAAAATAAAACTGAAATTTTATACTCTTTTTCCTACCTTTAACACAGAGATCACACAGTGATAAATGCTCAAGGTACCTCAGCTTTTCCTACACGTTATTTTATTTACTCTTTGAGTATGACAGCTTAAAAGCTGAATTCTTAAAAAGATTACACCTCCCTTTCCCTACCCTGTGTGCCAACAGAGACGTGGAGTCATTCAGCAACATGGTGATTCTGCTGTGCCTTTCAAGGTTTCAACCATTTCAATACATATATATTTATATATTTAAACACATAATAACAGTGTATCTGCCTGTAAGCAATTTCAAATGGCTTTTAATGTTTTTTTAACCACACAAAGAACTGTGTGAATCAAAAAGATATAATCTCATGTCAAAATATTCCTTATAATCACAATGTTTTCTGTGTCCCCCTGCAATGTTTCTGAGCATTTACCACTGCTGTTTGTTGTAAATCCCATGAAGGAAGCACCAAAAGGCACCAAAATCCCACAATTTTGGCACCTCACTTTTCCGGTCGATTCCCAGCCTTGCAATCAGTTCAGCTTCAGTGGATATGAAAGTAATTTCTTTTTTTTTTTTTTTTCTGTGTTTATTTCCCTATTTGCACAATAGGAATAAAACTTTTCCATCTCCCATGGATAATTACCAAATAAAAAGCCCTGTTTATGAAATGCTTCAATCAGAGACACCCAGAACTATTGTTGAGCCATGAGGAGCAACAACTTTATCAAGGCAACAGCATCTTTGGACAAAAAAAAAACCTATCACTGCTTCAAAGGAACAAAGCAAACACTCTCCATTCCTGTATTTTTAGGAAGATTAATACACAATATCTAAATAGGGAATTACCCCCACATGACAAAAATCCCTGTCAAGTTTCCTTTCTACAGCACAATGAAGTTATTGTCCTCCTAAGGCCCCAAAGCACTAAAACCCAACAATTCCCACATGGAGAAATAGCAACTTAGTAACCCAAAAAAATTTTACTAACCTATCTCATTAACTGATGTATTTCATGCCACACTGGATGTAAGAGCTGCCAAGTCCACCCCCTCACTATTCCCTGCCAGGAAAAACTTTCAAGACAGTTATTTCCCATAAAAAGGGAGGAGATCCAGCTTTCTTGATAAGAAAAGTTAATTTTGTCCCAACACTGAAGGGCCACCTCAGCTCCTCCAACTACCAACTTGTAAAATACAGGCATTATTCTCTTTTTGTGGTCCTGGAAGGCCACACCTTGAGGAAAACTGCAGTGCTTAAAAGCTGTCAATGGCAATTCCCAAATCACAATTTAGCTCACATTCTACTATAGATAACAGCACAATGTAAGAATTCTTGCAAGAAAGCACACCTAGGAAGGATAAATTCCAAACCCAGCAACAGCAACCCACCAGTGAAAACTGGGTTTAAAAAACAATCGTCAGACAAAGCCCAGACTTCAAAGTTAAATCACAACCTTAGAAGGAATTCAAGCATTTCAGTAAGGCAAAGTCACTGAGCAGCACCAGCTGGAATTCCTGCTCTCCCTAAAAACTTTGTCTGGATCCACTTTTTGCAAGGAAAATTAGAAAATGGGAAAACTGGTGCAAATGTCTGTTTTAAAATCCGTTTCTCAGGGGTGATGAGCTCCCATCAGACTGTTTGACTTTGCAAGAAGCAGTGTGATTCTGTAATGAGGATCTGGATTCTGCCTTCATCACAAACCCGAGCAGGGATCGGGTGCCACTCCCGGGAGAGGCACAAGGCTTCACAGGAATGCCAGCACACAAACAGAGCTGGCTCCCACATGGAAAACACCTTCTCAGAGAGTGGCTGTGGGGCCACAAAGAGCCTGGACCCAGGAAAAGCACTGAAAGCACAGCTTGTTCCAGCTCTGGGCGCTGCTGACCTCATGGAACTCATTTCCAGCACAACCACCATCGATTCCTGACCTCATCCCTCATCCCAGCGCTGCTCCTTGGCAGGCCCAAGGTACCTGCACCACCTTGGCTGTGAATTTCCACCCAGCTGAAAGGCTTATTCACTGAGACTGTGCTGAAAACCTCCTGCTTCCAAATTTTGTGTTGTTTTCACTAACAACAAGCTGCCCATAGAAAGATTTCCATCCTCAGGTTAGAGCAGCTCTTAAAGAGTGAAAACAACCTTCTTTCTAATCTGCTCTGAGCTGCTTGTACAAAAAAAAAAAAAAAAAAAAAGCCCTAACAAAATCGAAGTAGCATCAAAAGCAGGTTTATCAAAGGGGAATCACTCCCAGTCCTGAGGAACTGCATGACTAGTCTTTCCACTTTCTGTCTGGGAGAGCACAAAGGGAGCCCTGCAAGTTCCACTACAGCAAAATCTGCCCAGAAAGGCTCAAGCAGACTCTCTCCTCCTCCATGGCATCCTGTTGGCAGCAGGAAGCTCTGCCAGGGTTTTCCCTCCCTGTCCCCCTCCAGCAGATCACCACAGCCCTGGGAATGAGTTCCACAGCTCAGCACTTTCCCAGAGACTCCCCCAGCTCTGCACAAACGCGCTGGGAAAAGGCAACAAGGATTTCCTGCTCCAGTTCCACTGTGCAGGACCTTTGATTTTGGATTATGGACCACAAGGTCCCATCCCAACCACGTGGAAAGGAAATCACTGCAACTCCCAAGTCCTGCAGCTGGGCTCTCCCAGTTAATCCCATCAGCGACCCCATTCTCTCAGAATTGATGGTGGAAAGATTAAATCCTTATCACTGGAAGGGAAACGATGTGAGAATACTCCTGGCTGCTCATTCTATACCTTATTTATCACTTTGCACAGGTACTTAAACAATCACCTCACTCCTGAATACACATTAATGGGAGTCTTTTACTTCAGCCCAACTCCTTCCGCAAGTAATTCCAGAAAAGTCCATGAGCCTGAGCCAGCACAGTGTGGGAATTCAGTTATGCCAAAATACCAAAGAGGTCGGGCACACTTCAGCTTGTACTTAAGACAAACACACTGTAGCATCTCTGGCTGGCACCACTCACCCGGGAAAAAACACCAATTTTGCAAAAATAGACAGAGAATTTTCTGACCTCCTCTTCAGGATGAACAAGGAATCCCAAAATCAAACTGCTGCCTGAAGTAAATTCCTTATTTTAGTATTTATGTACACTTTCCTCTCCTAGTAGTAGTTTATGTAGCTACACCAAGGACTGTATTCTTCCAGGAATCAATACCTATATAAATTATTTCCTGCCTATGAAAGACCCTTTTCCATATAATACCTTTGCATTTCTTAAAAAAAAGAAGCAATTATTAAAACATCCAAACAAAATAATTGTTCTGTTCTTTAATTCACTAAATAGTTACCAAGCAAGCAGCACAGTCCTTTGCCATGAAAGCATGACAAATGCTGAAGTCCAATCTGCCAGGATGCCTCATTAATAATACCACATATTCCAAAAACACCCAGTCTGATGAAAGAATTGATCCAAGAATCCGTGCAGAAATACAACCAGAGGAGTTGTGTTCAATAAATCTGCAATTCAGACTATTAGTAATCCATCAGCACAACTGCTCACAGTAAAGTAACTGCAGAACCAGCCTAAAATAATAAATACACAGATAGAAAACTGCCAGCACCATCCCTGCTTCTCCAAAGGGAGGAAGGATTCATAAGTGAAAGGGCTCCCTGACAAAGCAGGAAAATGTATCCATTTGCACAGAGATAAAATGCCCTAAAAAGAAACAAACCAGGATTTACTTTTATGCCTGCAAGAATCTATTTTTTTTTTGCTATAAAAGCAGTTAATGAAAGTTCAAACCATACAAGGCAAACACTTGAGTTTATATAAAACAGAGCAGCTCTGTGATGAGATGTAAGCTGAGAGCCCACATATATCTGAGTTTTATACAAGTTCTTTATCTAATTGTGTGGACAACTGAGGCTGAAGGAACACAAATGTTGCTTTGGTGATTATTTCCTTTTTGGAGAGGGATGTTGCAAGCAGTCTGTTTTCTGTCATAATCCAACTGAAAGGAATTCTTGAGTCAAAGAAGTTCCCTGGGAGCCAGACGCTTTGCTCTGGCCAGGATTCCATGATGACTCCAGGATCCCATGCTCCTGTGACCATGCCCATCCAATCTTACAACCACATGTACATATTATGGAGGCATATCACAAAAAAATACTCCAGCCCATTGCCCTCCAAAAAACCATGCAAAACATGGCTACACACACTGTGGAAAATCCAAGCCGGAATAACACAAAAATGGTCCTATTGTCAGGGAGAGACCTATTTTAGATTAATTCATTATGAAATGTCAGAGAAAACGTTATTGCAAACCCAGAGTAGCATTTTAGACAGTGAGAGGCACTTTCTGTGGGGCAGGAATAAATACAGAGAGGAGAAAAGGAACTTTTATGGACTCGCAGACTCACCCACGTTTGGTGGTTTCCCGTAGTTCACCGGGAGTTCGGGGGGTCGGCCCCTGTGCAGAGCTGCAAATGCAGATCCTTTCCATAGCGTGTGTCTGAAGTCTGCACCAGCAACAGTGACAAGGGACAAGAAATAATCAATACATTAAACAGTCAAGAGATCAAGCACCACTCCCACCAGCCCAGAATAAAATCTGTCTGATTGAACACTTTGTCCGATTCCTCATTTAAAGACTGCCACTCTCATTTCCAGTTCCCCAGCAGTGTCACTGTAAATGGTTTCAACTTATTTTTGCTTAATTTGGATGATTATTGGCTCTAAATCCATGGAGAGAAAAAGTGAATTTAAAAGTGGGTGCACTTTATACTGAGGCCCAGCTGAACTCTGCCATGTTTTCCTTCTGCAATGCTGACACTCAAAGCACCTCTGCTTAGGAACTGCACATTTGAGATTTCACATTTTGCTGCCTAAAAGTGCGAGAAGTGAGGGTTTTTTCCAATAAATCTGTTTTCCTGCAATATGTGGCAATGTGCCCTCCTTTCAGATTTTCCTCTGCACCCCACCCCCCCAAAAAAATCATTGTTTTTAAGTGAAGACTGTTCTCTTTAAAGACTCTCCAGCCTGCTGCTGCCAACTGGCCTCAGAGAGGCTCCTCTCTAGAACAATAGTGATTTTTCTGAGACTGTTCAAAGTGCCTCAGAAATTAGACCTGGATTTCTTCCATTTCTGGCCATCTGGAGGGAGAGAAATGAGCTTCCACGGTGAGTAAGTGCTGAAACAGAAGGACAGTGCTGCAGGTTGGTGGATCTGTGTTGCACCGTGTAGGTCTCTGAACACAAAGTGCACAAGCTGAGGTGACTCAGAGGCTCCTGAGAGCACCTTCTGATTAAACCCCAAACTGCTGCACAGAGTATTAAATGATACTCATTAAAAACAGCACTCAGACTTCCTAAAATAGATCCATCCACCTAAACCCTTCTGTTCCCCTGCAGAAAAATGTTTATTTTCTCTTTACATTTTGCTGCTGTTTGCTTCTAAGCTGCAAACTGAGTGTGAAGGGAAGGAATGTTTCTCTGCAAACCTGAATTTCTGCAATTAATAACAGCAAAGCAGAGGCAAAACAACACTCAGTCCCAAAACTCTGCAGGGCAATGTGTTTGGGAACAGCTCATCCCTCCAGGAGATACCCAATGGATCAGCAGATGCTCGTCAGCATCACGGTGTGACTTCACAGGATGCAGGGAATTAAGTGCTCAATTGCCACCAAAACAGGAAGGTCCTGCTCTGCCATCCCTCCTCCCCTCCCAGGATGATGCTCCTCCTCCTGTGTCACCTCCAGCCCTGTGATCCTTTTCCACCAGCTCAATTAATTCACTACAACAAAATTTTCCAACATCCCAGCTCTCTGAATCAGCACATCAGAGGATCAAGGAAGTTCTGGCTCCTGCAGGGAGGAAGTGGCAGGGGCATGGAGTGAGGAGGGAAAGGAGGAATCACTTCAATAGCAAATGGCTCTCAGATCTCTTTAGTTCTAACACAAAACTGCTCTCAGGATCATTCTCTCAAGCAGAGAGAGTTTTTCAAAGGGAAAAAGATTGGTGCTCTCTTTATGAAAGGAATGGGGGCTTTTAAATTAACTTGAAGCAGGAATTGTCACTGAAGAATCAGCCTGGCCTTCTGCTACTCCCTAAATGCTGCCCCAAACGCCACCACCCTGTCCTGTGTCTGCACAGGCAGAGAGTCAAAGAATGGAAAAAGCCAGGCTGAAAAATAACCCAGCTCAGTGATTTTAGACACAGATATGTGTAAATGTATATGGAAAAAATGGCATTTTTCAGATGCATCAAACCCCTAATCCCATTCACATCATTTACACAAACACCAACACACTGGGGAAGGAGGCAGAGGAAGTAATAATATCAGGCAACTGTAGGCAAGAATTGCTTAAAATGGCATTTTCAACCCAAGAAAATACATCCAACAGAGCCAGCAACAACTGCATTTTAGGAAGAAAAAGCTGGCAAGCACAGGAGACAAAGGAGGGCAAATGCAAATACACAGATATCCCAACAGGAATGGCAACAAAAGGGGGTTAATCATTAAAACAGAATTCAAGCCCAGATAAATTGAGATTCTCACCTTTTGCTGCCCTCAGGAGAGACTGGCGCCCGACACCCAGCAAAGTCTGCACCCCCAGCACACTCTGGGGGATCTCCTTGTCCAAGAGGGGTCCAAGCCTCTCACAGATCCTAAGAAGATAATCTGGGGGGATGTGTGCATTGACAGCCACCTAAACACACAAACAACACAGGCATTTGAAAAAATGCTTTATTTTTCCTTCTACTGGTAGCACTTTGCTTCGTATTTAAGTGCAAAGTTACTGCAACCAAGCCTAAACCCCCTGAAAATCCCCTCAACATTAATTATACTGCTTTTTAAAGTGATGTGGAGTGTTGCAAAAGCCACACCAGAAATTTCAGGCTGTAACAGCTTAATTGTAAATTTAGGGTGTCCCTTAAAAAGAAACAAAAATCCCCAGTGCAGTGCTCTGCTCAAACAACTTTTTTTTAAGCCTTTTTTACCTTTCAGTTCATTCTCTTCCCATCTTTTGCTTAACTGAAACACCCTTGCATTGACATCACTGTATGAAGCACATGTGTAAAAGAATAAAAACCTTAAAAATCACCTAAAATCCCTAAAATCAATATTCAGTCTCCACTCCTACTCCTGCTCCTGGGAGTAGGTATCTTTAAGACCCACATGTCTTAAAGATTTTGTCATGTTGGGAGAACATCCTTTATTTTTCCCTTTGGACAGAGACTGAGCGACAACAGTTTTTCTGACAGTCTGTTCAAACAACAAACAAATTGTGCCTCATTATCCAGAATGTCCTGCACTGCCTGACTCCCATATTTACAAACTGGCAGGAAAAGCTCTGCCCATCAGAGCTCCTCTGACACAGCACACACAGCTCCATCCACCTCTGCCCATGGATCAGCTCCTGCCTTCCCAGGTGCCAGGGATGTGCCCAGCTCCTGCCCCAGCACACCAGAGGGAGGGAGTGTCAGGCATCAGGAAGGAGGAAAAGGTCTGTAATTCCCTCAGCCCTGCTGCCAAGACATTGTTCACTCAACTGTGTCATCAAACAGATTATTAGCACACGTCGTTGGGAATTTTTTTATTCTAATTGGGCAACAGCAGTGGAGCTACAGGACCCAGCACAGCCAGGCAGGGCTGGATACTGTCACCACCTGCACCATGAGATGGATCAAGACTGTTCCATAATTCAGATTTTAACCAAAAAGGGAAATATATCTAATTAAATATACAAATTACCAGTTAATTAAATATGACTAAAAACAGTTAATTAAATATGACTAAAACCAGTTAATTGAATATGACTAAAAACTCTTCCAATGTGAATGGAACTCTTGGAGGAGAGACAGGTTCCTCCCTCTACTCATCTCTCAGTCACTGCTGGTTAAAGGATCATCTCATCAATCATGATGATTCTAAGGATCCAGATTCATCATTTTTTCAGTGCAGGAATGAGAAGCCTCCTGAGTGCATTACCATGTTCTCATTCCAAGACTTTCCATCCTGTGAGTGAGCATCAAGCAATGACCCTGTGAATGCTCTCCTGCACTGACAGGGTTCTCCAGACATTTTAGCTTTTTTCCCTAAAATCAGAGTTCTGAAACTGTATCAGCACGTTCCCAGTGGTACAACCAGTGAAGTACAGTGTATGAACATGAATTGTCTCTCACTGTAAATGATGGGATACAAAAGAAGTTGAAATGAGAGAAAAGGATTATCCAAACTTTGGTGTTTGCCTCTCATTCTGAGTCATTCCTGAAACACTGTAAATGTGTTTATGCTACAAATTTACAATGCTGCAGCAGCCTCCCTTCAGCGTGTAAGATTTCTGAAAGGGAAGTTCTGGAGGGAGAATCTGCATTTAAGCAAAATCTGAATATGAAATTCTTATTTCCATCTCTGATAACCAGCAACAAGCCCCTCAGTCACCAACGGCCAACAGTGATGTATCAGCCTTAAGGTTAAAATATCAAAAAGACCAACCTAGAAGCTCTGAAGTTTTACTTCCAGAGCACCAAAAACCCCCAAACCATACCATTCTCACTGGAAATGTAAAAAATCCAAACCATTTTCCCAGTGTGGCACAGCAAACACTCCCCTGTTCACCCTGGAGCTGGTTTGGGAGTTTCACCTCATTCCATGCCTAGGAAGGTGCTGAATTAAGCCTGGCAGCAAATATCCCACTGCACAGACAGAGCCCAAGGTGATCCACAAGCATTCCTGACTACCTCCAAAATGGAAAAGGACTTGGTGGCTCAAAGATGAAGGCACAGTTTTATCTGGAACAGTAAAGAGCAAACACTGACACAGGTGGGGCCTGACAGAATTCCCTGATCTCACTTCTTTCCCTGCACATTTCCTTGTTCCTACAACCCACAACAGCCCCAAATAAGCAGCCCTTAATCTGAATATTAGCACTGCTGTTACTAACAAACAGCTCCATAGGCAGGCAGCAAGAGCAGCAAATTCTCCTGGTGACTTTTTTCCATAATAACTTCCAGAAAAAAATGCTTAAATCACAGCCCAGAGCTAAACAAGCAATTCTATTTTCAGGTTCCCAGAAGAACTTGAATCAAAAATCCTTCTTTTCACCTCTGAGAGAGTTGTAAATGGGTTTTAAGTATTTTTCTAGAACATGAAAGCTGCAAACATCCAGCTGAAAAAATTAACATTTCCCAGATCAGATTTTCCTTAAAAGAAGGGTGGAAAAAGGCAAAGGTACAGCTACACCTCTTAGTGTGTGCTTGTCCAAATCCCACGTGGCAAAATGAAACAGCAGCAAATATATTATCAGCTCCTCAAATATATTAGAAAATATTTTGAAATATAATTAGAAAATATTTTAGAAAATAATCAGAAAACTGGAAAAAAAATAGAGATGAGTAATACAGGCCCAAACCATGCATGTTAAAATAATGCAGAGCTGAAAATGTGCTAAGTGAGAACAAATGCTGCATCTTGGGATAAATCATAAAGAAAATATGGTTTGTTGCCTTAGGATGTGAAAAATCCTATAAAAGTTAAAATATGAGAGCACAAGAATGCAATAGTACCAGATGAGTTCTCTGACACAGTAACCACACAGGTACAAGGGATCTAAAAAGTGAAAGATTAAGTGAAGCCAATCTATCCTTTTTAAAAAACTCTCCCAGTCCTGACTGCTTGAGCCAGGCTGAGATAAGCTGCTCCAGTGATAAGCACAAGGAAAGAACTATTAGTGAAGTCACGTCAGGGCTGGGAGAAATTCAACCCCTGAACCTGTTCGAGGTCCTGTGGCTGGAAGCATCACTCAGAGACCATGAGCTGGGACAAGCAGCTTCTGGATCCCTGAAACCAAATCCTCTGGTGTGACTCTGATCCCTGTTTGGACAATGCTCTCAGGCACTGGGTGGGATTTTTGGGGTGTCTGTGCAGGGACTGGGGCTGGATTTGATGATTCTTGTGGGTCCCTTCCAAATCAGGAGTCTGTGATTCTACAGCTGCTGACAACTCCTCCTCCAAGGCAGGGAACAAACAACCCAAAAAAGACTCTTTGTGATTACTGCTTAAAGTAAGATGTCTGTTTTGACAGAGATGGGAACCAGGGAGCTCTGGGAACCATCTCTTTTGGGAAGCCCAGTGGAACATCTCCCCAAAGCACGGACTGGAGGCAGGAGCTGCAGACTGGAACGTGGCAGTGACGCAGCCCTTGGGAGGCTGCTCTGTCCCCATTCCTGCTGGGCAGGCCCAGCTGGGCCTCAGCACTGGATTTTTCTCCTCCAGGTAGTCATCCAACACTTCCTTCATTTGCCAAAATAACCATCAATTAAGAATCCATTGACAACTGTATCAAAAAGCAGTGGAGGAGGCCAAGAGGCCGAGGCAGCTGAGCAAGCAGGAAATTACTGACAACATCAAACAGGGAATCTCAGCAAAAGGAAGCTCAGACACTGGACCTGCACAAGATGCCAGCAATATGCAAATAGACTGGAATTAAAAAAGCCTTTACCCACTGGGGTCCCCAGAGAGAACAGGTTGGAACAACCATGCTACAGATGACATTTTCCTGAGGTGACAAAACCGTAACATCTCTGCTCTGCTAATGCTGGGATTGGCAGGATCTATAAATACCAGCACCTCGGACTCAGGGCTAGTTTTAAATCAATGCAGATGGGCAAGGCAGGAACTCGGAGCCAAATCCCATAAGCTGTTCCATACCAGCACAGCCGCTCATGGATGCAAACTCCCCACTCTCCAACAACAGCTGATTTTCTGTTTTGCCTGGAATTACGTGTTTTTCAGCACAAAGACCAAACCAGGCTGAGCCAGAAGACTCAGCCCATCAGAAAGTTCTTAAAACCAGAGCAGAGCCAGTCACCTTTATCAGGAATAAACAAAGATAATGTGGAACAGCAGGTCACTGGAGACTGTGCTGATAATCGGAGTCGTTCAGCTCGACTCATCTGTAGAGCAGCTGACTCCACACTGAGCTGCTGTGGCTCATTTAAAACCAGAGCACTAATTGCCTGCAAGTTGGACACACTTCAGACCTTCAAACGGCCGGGCTGGATGGGGTTTGGAGCAACCTGGTTTAGTGGAAAGTGTCCCTGCCCATGGCAGGGGGTGGAACGGGACGGGCTTGAAGGTCCCTCCCAACCCAAACCAGTCTGGGATTCTGGGATTCTGTGATTCACAGACCCTTCCCTTTACAAACACGTGTCTCAAGACCATCAGTGAGAAAGTAAAACCATTGTGGAGTACACCTGGAGAACTGAGCCTGGAGATGAGGGAACTGAGGGGAGTCATCGGGGGCTGCAGCTCCTCCTGAGGGGCAGCTCCAATCTCTCCCCCTGAGAGAGGGAACAGGACCCAGGAAATGGCTGGAGCTGTGTCAGGGACATTGAGGTGGAGATCAGGGAAAGGTTCTTCCCTTAGAGGGTGTTTTGGCACTGAAAGGCTCCCCCGGGAATGGTCACAGCCTCAAGGCTCCCAGAGCTCCAGGAGGGTTCAGACAACACTCACAGAGTGTGATTTTGGGGTGTCTGTGCGGGGCAGGAGCTGCACTGATGGTCCTGTGTGTCCCTTCCAGCTCAGGGCACTCTGTGACTCTGTGATTACCTAGACAGGCACAGCCACATGCTGCAGGCAAAAAAGTGTTCCAACGTGAAAATACACAGGAAAAACAAAGGGAACATAAACTTGCATTCTGTGTGGTTCTGCTCCATAGGTACAATTCTTATTAGCGTGTCTTAAATTACTCGTCTGCCCTGTGATACCTGATATTTAAAGTAAAAGATTAAGTTTATTTAAAAAAAAAAAAAAAGGAACAAAGGAATCTCAGTGAGCTTTCAGATTCTTGCCTAAAAACTCGAGTGAAGTGGGAGTAAACATTCCCCAGATAAAAACCATCCAGTGGCCATTGGGCTGCTCCATCTTTATCACTCCGAAAGCCCAGGAGCAGTAACAGCATACTCAGTGCTCACAGTATTGGCACATTTTCTGAAAAACACCACTCAGAACCTGGACAGCCACACTGAGGATGGAAAACAAAGCTGAAACAACAGAACAAGAAATACTCTGTCTGAATACTGGGCACACAAACAAATCAGACTTCTCTGGGTTGTAAACTCTCACAAATTCAATTACCTGCCTGACCAGAGTAGCTGCACCACACAGCTCAGATTGTAAACGATTTTGGGTTTCTGGCTGTAAAAAGCAGAAATGGGTTGAAAAAGCCCCTTTACCTCCAACTGCTGGCATCTCCAATTTAACTTTGGTTCATTATGTGCCTGAGATAATTAAAAAGAAGGTTGGAGTGCTTTGTGTCCTTCATAACCCTGGCTCTGTTCTGAACATGGCATTCAGACATCCAACCACCCCTGAAGTCGAGGAGCTCAGGTTAATAAACAATCATATGCAGCCAAAAGTCCAAATTCCAAACACAGCAAACCCTAAGCAATGAGGGAGAAAAGGTCTTTCTTCAATATCCTTAACACTCTGAGGATTCAGACAGAAACTCAGCTCATCCCACCTGGCATTAACCTGTAATGATTCATTTATAATCCTGGTGCTTACTGTAAACCATGAGAAACAGTCAAATAATACTAGATAAATGGGCAAACTAAAAGCATGGGTTAGTGCTGATTAGTTTAAGACACAGGAAAAAAAAATCTTAAATTTAATTATTATATGAGTTTATACAGAAATAAGAAATTTCCCATTAACTCCAAAACTCACTTCAAAATGGTTTTTCTCTTGTTTCTGAAATGTTAAAGAAAAGTACATGTTTACACACATATTTAAAAAAATATTTTAAGGTTTTAAGGCTTTTATATATGTGCTACAGAGAATGAAAGGAAAAAAAAATTGTATGTCAATCAAAGTGATATGCAAAACCACTCTGACACCAGACTGCACACTGGCACTAATATTCCTCCTGGATATTGGGTGCAGTACCACGCTAAACCTGAGACAGTCCACAGTTAGATTTCAGATTCTCTAGGAAGACCATAGAGCACCAAAATCTATTGAATGCAGAACTTATTTTATGTCTGCTCACTCGATTTACAGTCCCAGAATTATCCACAAGAGGTGTGAGGAAGCCCAGCTTCCACCTGAAATTCTGCATAGGCTTTAGAAAGGGAAAGGCAGCTGGTCCAAAGGTCTGCTCTGGGCACAAGGAGTTCTGCCCACACCTGAGCTCCTACAATATTGCTAAAGTGGGAAACCAGCTCCCGAGCCAGATGCAGAGGAGTTTGAGCAACAGCCATGGCAAAATCCCCCGTCACTGTTGCTCCATGGGAGCGGGAGAGGCCAGGACGTGCTTCCCATTCCTGGCAGGTGAGTGCCAGCGCTGGGCACAGGTACCAGGGCTATAAACGCTATGGGGAAGTTTACAGCCGTCCCACTGCAGAGTGCTACATCAGCGCCACACGTCACTGCCCAGAGCTCCCAGAAATGAAAGCAAGGCTACCTGGACCCTTTGGAAAAGGACTGGAACAGCTTCAGTTCTGTCACTTTCACACAGACACATCTCGGGGTGCGGGGCCAAGGGCCACCCCCCAGCCACGGCCTTGCGGAGGGACTGACCTTCCTCAATGACACACATTCAAGGGTTCAGCACTCAGCAAAAGCAGCCAGTCGGTGAATTTCACCGGCATTTAACAGCCACAACACCACACTTCCTAACCCCTCCTTTCCTGCTTGACAGCAGGCCCAGACGCCGCGGAGAGGGGCGGGTTTCGCGCAGGCCGCCGCAGGCCGGGAATCCCTGACCCAGCCCGGCAGCGCCGGGCCCGGCGGCACGTCCGGCATGTCCCCCCCAGCCGGGCCACGGCAGCGCGGCCGAGCCCGGCCCGGAGCGGGGCAGCCCCGGGGGCGCGGGCGAGGCGGCGGCGATGGCGCGGGGGGACCGGGGGGGACCCGCGCCCCGCGCCCCCCGCCCCGCCGGCTCCGCCGCGGCGCCGCCGCAGCCAATCAGGGGCCGCCTCACATCGCCGCGCACCGCTCCCCGCGTTGTAAGGCGCAGCGCCATTGGCCGCGCCGGGCCCCGGTGCGTGCCCTCGGATAACCCCCGGCCCCACAATAGCGCGGCGCGGCCGCTCCGCCGGTGCCACCGGGCGGCCCACGGGGGTCTCACCGGCAGCCCCCGGCCCTGCCGCGCCACCGCTCCCCACCCGCCCCTCCGCTCCGCACCCCGCGGCCCGCCGCGGCCTCGGCGGGGCGCAGCCCGCAGCCCTAGTGGGGGGGACACACACACGGGGCGGGGGGGGGGACGCGGCGCCCGGTGCGGCGGCGGCGGCGCGGGGGGCGGAGGGAAGTTGTCGGAAAAGTCAAGAGTGAAACTTGTCTCACCAGGTCCTCGAAGCTCCGGCGGTGCTCCTTGCCCTGCCAGTCCAGACGCCGCGGAATGAGCTGCGGGAGGGACACGGGGACGGGGGCGGCCGTCAGAGCCCGAGCGAGCCCTCCCCGGGGAGCCCCCCTCGGTGCCCGCCCGCGCCCCCCGGGATGGAGCCCCCCGGCCGCTGCCCCCGGCCCCGCCGCGGGGCAGCCGCGCTCCCGCCGGGTGTCCCGGGCGGAGATGGGCTGGGTTAGACGGGGCAGGGCAAACGCCGACCCCGCCGTCCCGAGGGCTTCCCCCGTCCCGCCGGGGCAGGCGCCTCACCTGGTGCTCCTCCAGCTCCTCCACCAGTACCTGGGGACAGAGGGACACACAGACACACACACACAAAGGACGTGAGTCCAGCGACCGCAGCGCAGCGGCTCCGCCGCCCCGTCCCGTCCAGTCCCGTCCCGTCCCGTCTGCCGCCCGCCCGGCCCGGCCGGAGCGCCGGCTCCGCGCTCACCTGGGCGGATTTCTTGCAGGGTCCGGACTGCAGGAACCGTGCGATCAGGTAGTAGAGCTCTGCGGAGAGGCGGGGGAGAGCGGGTTAGACACGGTTAGAACGGAGGGGGTGCGGAGCGCAGCCCCCGCCGCCAGCGATACCCACCGGCTTCCAGCTGGGTCGGGGCGGCCGCCGCCGCCATCCTCCGCGGGAGGGGGAGGGGAGGTGGCGGATGGCGCCCCGGGGGGACTCGGCTCCTAGTGCGGGCGCAGCCTCATGCCGGAGCGGCGGTGCCGGTGCGGGGCGCGGGTCCCGGTGCGGCTGCGGGCGCGGGTCCCGCCCGGGCTCATCGCGGCTCCGCGGACCGAGCGCCGCCGGCACCGCCCGCACCGCCGCCGCCCGCCGCCGGGGGGCGCGCGCGGCAGCGCCGGGCGAGCGGGGGGGCAGGAAGGGCGGGGCGGTGACGCGCCGCGGGGGGGCGCCCGCCACTTCCGGGCGGCGGCTGAGGGGGGAGGAGGAGGAAGAGGAAGGGCCGGGCCGGGCCTGGAGAGCCGGGATGTGCCCGAGGCGTTCGGGCACCGTCACAGGGCTGCGCTGGGCCGGGCTGTGCTTTAGAGGGCCCAGGGGCCGTCACGGGGGAGCTCTAACGGCTTCTGTCCTCGCGGGGCCCGCCCTCAGCGTTCCCGGGTGTCCCTGCCCCGTTCCTCACAGCTCCGGCCCTTCCCAGCCCTCACGGCCCCAGTGTTCTCGGCCTCTGGTCGTGGCCTCCTCCCTGGCAGCGCCTGGGAAACGGAGCCCCATGTTTGCCTCAAATGAAGCAGTTTGTAAGAGGATGAAGGGGTTCAGGAATCTTAGGGATCCTGTCAAGGGTAGGGGGATGGAGCCCACGCGTGTGCCATGGAGGGGACACAGGATTGCTCAGTGGGGAGGTGACAGCCCTTCTGGGCTCCCGGTAAACAAGGCCTGGCTGCCGGGAGGTGTGTCAGGTTGGGGTGGCTTTAGGAGTTAAAATATTTGCTCCCAATGACCGGAAAATTCCAATGTGATGGAGACGGCACCTGTTCTCAAGGAACAAAGGGGTCAGGGTCAGAATAGATAGTTTTAATGGAAATAAATATTTTTCCATGGGATGCATCTTGTCAGAGCTCCTGAAATCGGTGTCACTTCAGCAATGAGTTGCTAAAACACATCAAGTGAATTATATTTTATCTCAAGTACCTGACATTTTATGTTAGAACTCCAGTGTAAAAACCACTGTCATCATGGCATAACAAAGGACAGCCTCTCCTCATGCCTGGAACACTGAGAGCTGAATCACTGTAAGTCGATGCTCTGGAAATATTAAGAATAAATTCAGATTGAGCACATCTTTATAGCAGCTGCTCAGGACTGGGTTTGCTGTGGGGCACTGGCTCAGTTTTGTTGCTGTGCAGTCAGGGTGCAGTCCCTCCTGCTGGCAGCTCCGTAGGATGCCTCCAGGCACTCAGGGAGAAGAATTTGGGGATTTGGCATAAAGCTGCTCCACATAATTCACCTGTTCTCACCTGCCCCTTATCCACCTGTGGAAGTTATTTTGTGCCAGGAGCTTGGATTAACTGAGTGATTTGTGGACCCTGTTTCCTCTTCATCGTCCTCTAAAGTTCTGGAGTTCTCAGTGACTGTTGAGAGGATCCCAGAATGGTTGGTGGAAGGGACCTTAAAGCCCACCCAGTCCCACCCCTGCCATGGGCAGGGACACCTTCCCCTATCCCAGGCTGCTCCAAGCCCTGTCCAGCCTGGCCTTGGGCACTGCCAGGGATCCAGGGGCAGCCACAGCTGCTCTGGGCACCCTGTGCCAGGGCCTCATCCCCTTCACAATAAAAATTTCTTCCAAATACCTCACCTAACCTTGCCCTCTGGCAGTGGGAAGCCATTCCCCCTTGTCCCAAGTCCCTTTCCATTTTTCTTGTAGGCTCCAAACAAATACTCTTGGAATGTTTTCAGGGCAGGTTCATTGCTCAGCTGTCAGTGGACAGACACGAGGTGCCACCTCACCAAGCTGCAAATTCCAGTGGTTTCCCAATAGTAACAGCTCTCCAGCTTCCCAGCAGGACCCCAGTGGCTCCAGAGCTGCAGAGCTTCCTGGGAGAGACAGGGTGAAACTGCTGTTCTCAGAATGAACTCCCAGCCAGGAGAAGCACACACTGATCCCACTCTCCAGACAGGTAATGTTTGTTCCACCTGTCTTCAGAGCACAGAACTGCAAGCTCATCTTTTCATGCATGATGGGCAGGCAAAGGAAAAAACACAGATGATGTTTTACAATATACCCTGAAAGTACAAATGCATCTTCCTGAGCTGAGCAGAATTCCATGTCAGGGGAAAAGCAGCCCCATAAATAGTGGCCAGCACCATGTCCTGCTGCATTTCGGTGCCAACAGCTCCACATCCATGCTTAGGTGAGACCCCAGCAACAACACAGGAAAGACATGGAATTGTTGGAGCAAATCCATTGGAGGCACCAAGATGGTCAGAGGGATGGAGCAGCTCTGCTGTGAGGAAAGGCTGGGAGAATTTGCATTGTTCAGCCTGGAGAAGAGAAGCTCCAGGGTGACCTAACTGTGGCCTTCCAGTGCCTGAGGGGAGCCTACAGGGAAGGTGGAGAGAGACTACATGGGCCTGGAGTGCCAGGACGAGGGGGAATGGCCTCCCATTGCCAGAGGGCAGGGTTAGCTGGGATACTGGGAAGGAATTCTGCCCTGTGAGGGTGGGGAGGCCCTGGCACAGGATGCCCAGAGAAGCTGTGGCTGCCCCTGATCCCTGGCAGTGCCCAAGGCCAGGTTGGACAGGGCTTGGAGCAGCCTGGGCTATTGGAAGGTGTCCCTGCCCATGGCAGAGGATGGGGCTGGATGGGCTTTAAGGCCCCTTCCAACACAAACCATTCTGGGATTCCATGATTCTGTATTGTTTAATAATGTGACATTTCCTTGGCACCTTTTGGTGCCTTACTGAATCTCTGCACTCATGATTTGCTTTCATTTGAGCTTGGGGGTGGCACAGGTGAAGCTGCAGCACCACCAGGCAGGATTGTTCTGTTTGGGCCTCTCTAGAGCCCATGGGGATTTCTGCAGTAAAGCCCACAAAAGCCTGGGATAGAAAATGCTCCCAAAGTAAGCTTGTGCATGCCTTGCCTTGCTGCAGCATTCCAGCTGGAGCCTGGCTGCTCCTTGCTTGGTGCTCAGTCCAGGACCTTGGGTCAGTGCTCGGCCGTGCTGGGTGTTGCTGCACACCGTGGCTCAGATGGATTCCTGCATAAGGAAGGGAGAGTGTTGGGAATGCCCCAGGTGTGTCCTGTGTGTGCTGAGGGCACAGCTGTGCAGGTACAACCAGCATTTGTCCTTCCCAAACAGTTCACAGGGGACTTCCCTCAGCCTGGCTGTGGCTGGACTGTGCTGCTGTGCAGTCACTCCTGAGCCTCTTCCCGACATTCCTGACTCCCTGGCACCTCAGCTTCCCCTCCTTAACCCTCTCCCAGCTGCTCCATTACTCCCCAAGCCTGCTCCAAGGGCTGTTACCGATACCTCTTCCCACCTTTCCTGGGTTTTCCCCTCCAGGAGTCGTGTGGTGAGTAATGCCCATCCTCTCTTTCCCCAGGAGCTCCATTTCCTCACCACACGTGGATTCTGCAGCTCCATGACTCATCTCTTTCCAGATCCTCTGCATCCAAGCAGCAGCATGCTGGGGGTGATAGTAAATCTCAGAGTGAAAGCAGGATTTTATGGATGTGCTGATTCATCTTTCCTCAGAGCAGAGCTCTGTTATGTAAATGCCAGCAGCAGCTTGTGGCAGGAGGAGGGAGAACAGACTAATGAGCCACGGAAGGATTCAGGAGCAGGGATGCTTTAAGGAAGAAGCTGGACTGTAGCTGTTTCTTTCCATACTGCTCTTTAAAGAAAAAAAATGAAATTGTTTGAGGGATTTTAGGAATAGGAGCTGATGACATTCAAATACCCATTGCTTCTCCCCGTTTGGTTTTGTAGGGAGTTTTACTCTCAGCTGTAGTTAAAAGTAAAACTCAACTCCCTGTTTAATTTGACTACAATATTAAATGAACTTTCCCACAATTAGCTTGTAAAACCAGGTAAAGGTGTCTCTCTCATTTTTTATTTATTATTATTTTGCCCTCATGAGTCAAATCCTGCTTTAGCCGTGTGTGAAAACAGAATTGTGGTTTAGTATAACCAGAAATGTACAGTTAAAATCAAAAAAACCCAAAGTTTAGAGTGGGATTGTGCAGGTGTGGTGGGTTTACCTGCATTGTACCTTTACAGTAAATGTAGGTAAGGATTCACATGCCTGAATTCAGCTGGATTTGAACACCAGTACAAATTATGCATTTTTGGCTTTTTTTAAAGAATGTTTTCTGTGTACATTTCATAAAATACCCCTGAGTTGGAAGCAACCCACGAGGATTTCTATGGACATTCTGCTCATCTTGGGTCTTTCATCTGGAGCTAAATGGCAAATAAGGATGGTTGTTAAATTAAATCCAAGTTTTTGTTTAGCTGATTCAAAAATAAGAGTTGTTCAGAAGGAATTCAGGAGTTGGTGCCTTGTGCTACACAGCTGTGATTAAAGGAGTATTGAAAAGTCCAAGCTTATTTTGAGATCTTCACACAGAAAAACCTCAAATTTTGATATCATAGTTTATTTTAAAAAATAAATGACATGCAAAATAATTAGCACTAATTACAGTTGCTGGAGTGCAGGGCTTGTGTGTGCAAACCAACGTCCTGTTTTTGCAGGAAAAATCTCCAAGTTCCCACTCCTTCCTGTGGTTCTCTTCCTCGACAAGAGCTGTTAAATAATATCTAAATAGCTGTTAGATATTACACAAGATCTGCTCTAGGATTTTTGCTATTTTTAATAATTTATTATTTAATTTCTCTGCTGCATCGTTCCAATCATTCCTCTAGATGGTGCCAGACACCCAAGAGTTGGGAGCGACATTATCCCATAGGAGGGCGATGGAGGACGAGCCAGGACGCCGCTCGCCTTTGTTTCTAAATTCTATCTTGCAGTAGTTCATCTTGTTGAAAAATTACTTGTTCTGGTGATGTAAATATGATTTTTTTTTGTCCTTTTGAGAATCCTAAAATCCATTCAGCCTAAATTCCACCTTGCTGGAGCAGTGTCATCCCTTGCTCCGTGGGCTGATCCATATCTCACATTCCTTGTGGCAGCCATTAGCTGCTGCGAGCTGGGATCGGTGCGTGCAGCCCCGCTGCGACTGGGGAACTGAATCTGCCTGCTTTGCAGAGCAGTGACATTTCTGGCTGTTATCTAAACATTTCTCCTTATCTCTATTTCACCCAGAAATGCCAAATCCAGCTGTGGATGGAACCGCAGGAAAAGGGGTGGCTCTGTGTCCCTGCGTGCTCTGGGCTCTGCCAGCAGAAGCACCGGGGCAATGATATCAGTGCCAGGTCCGTCCTCAGCATCTCTGAATTCCAACTTTGTACCTCAGACTGCCTGGAACCCCTAAGTTTTATAGCAGCAAATTTACTGCTGGGTGTAAGTGACCAGGTGGGTTTGTTATTGCTGGTGTCACTTCTGCACCCTGCACAATCCCTGTCTAAGGGCTCATTCTGACCTGTGGCCCCTGCTTGGGATCAAGCCCCCTGTTCCCAACCTTTTCCAGCTTCTCCTGATGTACCCTGACGGCTGCCAGTCCAGGGGTCCCCTGCACAAGGATCTCACCCCAAAAATACCACCTGATATCACTGCTGGTTTAATTCAGCAACTTTAAGTCCTGCTAAATATTTGTAAATAATCCTTTGATGTTTTCTTTGTGATTTTTTTAGGGCCAAATCCTGCATTTTTGGCTTCTCTTGGAAGCCTGGGCACAAAGCATCTGACTGCAGCTGGGAATTCATCACCTCTCTCCCTGGATATGCAAATTTTACTGGAACTCCCTCAGCTAAGTAAACAATTTTAATAAAATTACATCCCTCTGTATCCCATACCCTTTTCCATAAAGTTTTGAGAATGTTTGTGTTTTAATTGTATTTCTCATTTTCAAATATCAGAAATATAAGGAAGGAGTGCAGTAGGGTTTTTTACAGCACTGCTTTTATTGAAATAAAAGGTTATAAAACATTTGGATTAATTTTTTATTTATTGATATCCCTAACAGGCAGACATTGTAAATAAGCTCATTAATACTCTTTTAATACAGCCTTATAAAATTAATTCTCAATTACTGCATGAGGTGATGGATTAGAAAACTGTACTGTGTAAATTTGCTCACAAAAGTGTGAGTTTGGAATGAACTTTCTAAGTACTAATCATGGAATCCAAGGATGGGATTTTGGAACATTTCTCAAAGTGCTGTCCCATACAGGAATTCTCTTCCCATTATCTTTATTTATTGCTTATAAAGCCTCTTCTTGTGATCTTCAATTTGGGATGATGTCTCCCTCTTATCCCTCATAAGGAAAAGCTTTAACATGGAAGCTTCCATAAATTCCTCTGCAGTAAAGTGACTCCATATTTCATTTAAATCTTGCACTTCCATCATTTAATGGACATTCACATTCTCCTGTGGCTGTCCAGCTTTATATCTCTGGGAAAATCTTTCCCCTGATGTCCTCAGGAGTTCAGATTTCAGAATCTCTTTTTATTTTTGGCCTTAAATTATTAGGGCTTGAGACATAACCTGCTACAATATGTTTTGTGTGTCATCTTGATTTGGAGAGGCCTTACATTCTTGGAAGGTCCTTTAAAGTGGGGTTTTTTTTAATCAAAGGACTAATTTAATTTAATTTAATTTCCAGTGAGGTGGTTTTCAACACCTGCAAGTTCTTGCCCTGTTGGCTGTTCCCTTTCATTTCTCTTACACCAATAAAAGTCTATTAAGAGTTTATGAAGTCCCCAAGTTCTGTGTGGTTGAATTTCTGCTGGAAAACCACCAGAGGTGGAAGGTGAAGCTGTGAAGGCACATGGCATCCATCAGGACAGAACTGTGCCATCATCCTTATTTCCCTGAGATTTTCTTTGTTATCCCTGGATTATAATGGTGTAAGTGTGGAATATGGTGTAGAGGCGGAAAAAAGCTTCTCCTGTTTGTTCTCCACATTGTCCTTGAAGTCTAAAGGATCAGCCATTTCCTGTGGAGGATCCTCCTCTCTCCATGTGTTTCCTGATGTCTCTGGACACCATTCTCCCTCCTGCTCTGTGCAGCCAGCAGATCTCAGTCTCTTCATTTTTTTCCTCTCTTTGCTCCTTCCTCCTGCTTGCTGACTGAGGTTGTTGCAGGTAACACCTTTCAGACCTTGACTTTCTTCCAAACCCATCTTCCATCTTGACTTTGCTGCTGCCTGTGGACTCTGCCAGCCCCCCATGCCCGTGTGTTTGGGGGTTTTGTCCTTGCTGACTCCAGGATGCCTCTGGAATGGCTGAAGAACATTCCCATGGGAGACAGTGCATCCTGAAATGAGACATGGAAAAATCCCATTGAGAGTGATGCTGTCCTCTTGGTGCAGGTTTCAAGCAGATATTGGAGAAATCCTGGGAGCTGAGACCCGAGGGAGGGATTTAGGGAGACCAGAGGCTCATGAGACGCATCAAGACTCTTGAAAGCGTTGTTTTGTCTTTCTTGAACATGTGGAAAACAAACCAGGCTGCAGCACTCCCTCCCTGTCAGGAGAAGAAAGCAGCAGGACAAAATCTGTTGTTGGAATTTCCCTCCAGCAGCACTTCCATCCCTCCCAGCCAAGGGCAGCTGGGGTGAGCCACGGCCATGCTTGGGGGACTCATCCCAGGGGACGTGGGTGTCCCAGAGTGGGGCACTCTGCTTTGTTCCCTGCAGCCCCACCCACCCCCTCAGCTAAAAATGACATTTTTCACCAACTGCTAAAGCCTCCTGCTCCTGCTTTAATGTTAATTTTGGGAGTTTTCAACTGGACTCTGAGCTACCTCCTCAGGAATCCACGTGGCAGCCCCGAGGTCCAGCCCCATCTGGGTGACAGAGTTTGTTTCCTTTGGCAATAGGGATTTAACAAGCAGGCTTCCAGCCCTGGGAATCGTTTCCCTCAAATAGCTGCAAAATAAATGATGGGACATTTTCCAGTGCAGTGCTGCAACCACCCAAAACACCACTGTAGAATTCACAGAGGCCAGGCAGAGCGAGTGCATTAAGCAAGGCTTAGGGGGATTATGGAATTAAATTGGGAGCCCCTTCCACCCTTCCCCCAGTCAAAGACATTCGGAAATAAATATTAAAACAGGGTGTTAAAACAATGGCTTTGGCTAAAACCTCTGCAGGCAAAGAGCCTTGCTGTGGGGGCTGTTGCTGAGCTGTGGACCAGGCTGTGCTCCAGAGGGTTTCCATCAGGGAGCCGGGGTGATCTCAGGAACACCAAAGGCATGGCTGGAGTGGCTCTGCTTCCCAAATTCCCTGTGCACAGGAGAAATGCCCCAGCTCCTCATACAGCACAGGACTCTGCCTCCTCTCCTCTGGACCCTGCTGCTGCCTTTGGCATTCCTTATCCTCTGCCTGCACTTCCCTGCTCTGTCCTTTCCTGTCATCAGTGCATCCTGCTCCTTTCAGGGAGAGTTTGTGCAATGAAAGCTTTGTTTTAATCTGGCCTGGATTTAGCCAGATGCTGCAATCCTGGGAAGGCTTACACAGGGCTCAGGTCTGCCATGGGAATGTAGCCTTGATTTGATAATCTGAGAATGGTTTATTTAAAATTAAAAACATAGAAAACCTTTGAAACAGCTTTTTTTTTGAGCTCTTTTGGCCTTGCAGTACAACAGGCACCCTGGCTCTCAGTTACAAATAGGGCCTGGCACCCATGAAATAGGTTTTAGGCTAATGAGGCACACTCTGCCTGCTTTAATTAAATTAATTAGAGCAAAAAAAAGGCATTTTCCATTAAAAGTCTTTAGCATCATAATAACACAATGAATTTAAATATTTAATATAAAAATACATAAAATTAAATATTAATTTCCAATACACTTACAGAGTCCATTTGACCAAATAACCCCACAAATATTCCCTTACCAGAGAATCCCATTTCTTTACATCTCTATTAACATAATTACAGACCTTTGTATTTAAAATCTTTATTTTAGTGCAGTTCTCTCTGTAATAAAATTAATCCATGAGACACCTGTGCAGCAAGACATAGGATTTACACAGATTTTAAGCTTTTGGGGGCAAACAGTTTATTCTTGCCTGTGTCAAGGCCTGGGGTAGATGAGCACAGTGACACCAGAGGCTGCTGAGTGTATTAATTAGTGCTAATTTATAAAGCTACCGGGTTCTTTGACCTTCTCACAGCACTGCATGGGTGGAGGAGGAAGGATAAGGAATGAGCAGAGGAAAATCCTTTTGGTCAGAGTTTTGCCATGCCTGCCTCTCCTCTCTGACTCCCCCAGGTCCTGTGTCCCCCTGTGCCTTGGCAGGGAGTGGTGGCAGCTCATCCTGCAGGCTGGAATTCCAGGGGATGCTGCAGCCCCTGGGAAGCTGCTGCCCAGGAAGGGGCTGGGGATGCTGACTGCTTGTGACAAGTCTTGCAGCGGTTGGAACCTGAATGATGTCACTATGGCAACAAAATAACTCACCTTAAAATAAAATGTGCATTGGAAGCAACCTCATGTGCTCAGGGAATACAGGGAGGAAGGTCCTATTTTTTATATGTATATATTTTTATGTTTATGTATTTTATAATATTTTTTCAGCTTCCTGAATTCCCTGTTAGCAGATGCTGATGCAGATGTAAGAAATATTTTAATTTCTCTCAGCAATTAAATGAAACAGAACATGACCAGAGCTCCAGAAGAAGGAAAAACGTGTTTGCTGGAGGGCAGGAAAACCCTGGAGCTGCTGATAACTACAACTCATTCTGATGTATGTGAGATCCAGACTATCAATATCTGCAACTCACAGCAGGGATTTGGGACTAATTATTGCTAGTATTTTTCATGGACAGAGCCCATCCCTTTCCAACAATCCCAGACTCCATTTCCATATTTGTTCTTTCCAGACAGGTTTGTTTTTCCCTTGTTTCTGTGTTAAATAACAGCAACAGGTGGAAATCTGGAGATTTCTCTGGAAATTCTAAACTCTCCCTGGCTCTTTTTATCCCATGAGCATCCCAGCCAGCTTGGAGCTGTGGTGATTCAGCCACAGTGCTGCTGGGGAGATGTTCCCAAGTTTTTTCATAATCCTGGATGTTTTTTAGGCTGGAGTGGGTGACTTTGACCACCTCTGTGAGGGAGGTTGGGATGGGCAGAGTGGTGAGGTGAGGCCATGAGCTGTGCTGAGCTGCAGCAGCCCTGGCAGCAAAGAGGAGTCATCCTCATCTTGTCAGGCTTTTCTCCTGCTTGCCAAAGGCCAGGAGCATTTATGGGATGAAGCACAAGGCCATGGAAAGCCCAGCACCCCTGATCTGGTCCTGCAGCGACCCTTGACTAATCCAGGGTAAAAATAGAAAGACAAATTGTCTGGTGTTTCACTGGCAGCAGAAATCCGGCAACGCTCGCGTTTGAATCATCCAGATGATGCTCTGCAAGAGGGGGATGTTGCTCTGGAAATCCCACTGATCCCCAGGGACTGATCCCCAGGGAAATCCCACTGATCCCCAGGGACTGGGATCGTGCTCCAGGTGGAGAGATGCTCCCAGTGCTCCAGCAGGAAGGGCAGGGCTGGAGCTGGAGCTGTTTGAAGCCGAGCAGAGGCAGCCTGCATTGGCACTGTGCTTGCCCAGCGTGTGTGTGCTGGGCACAGAGCACCTGCCTGGGAATGGGCAGAGAAGTGCCAAAGGCTCCACAGCCACAGGTTTTCCCATGGTTTTTGCAAAGTTCAGCCCATTTGTAAAAACTGTGGAAAGCCCAGCATATCCCAGAAGGAATTGCATGAGCAGCTCTGGACTTCCAGTTCTTGCAGTGCAAAAATAAATACATTTATAGAATAACTGTATTTTGTATAATATAATACTTATATAATGTATAATTCTCTATTATAATTATATTATATAATATCATAATTTGCCTCCCTATATCCCATTTTCTGAGAGCTTTGCACCCAGTTTAATGGCAGTGAAAATAATTTACTTCCAACTGCTTCTTCTATAGGAAACCAGGAAAAGTGGATTGAAAGGAATGAGGTTATGGAGCATGAAAAAATATTCCAAAACAGCTATGGAGGAGGGAAGAGGAGTTTCTGTTCTGACCCTGGGTGAGTTCAAGGGGGTACTTTGGATACCTGGGTGCCAAATAATGCTAATAAGTGCGGCTGTGACATTTTGACGTCATCAGCACAGCATCCAGACACTGCCTCTCTCCTTCCCATCGGTATTTCCTTGCAGTCCCACATTCCCTGCAGCCTCTGCTCATTGGGAGAGCAGGGAATCGCTGCTGCGGCTCCCTGCTCCCGGCAGCGCGGGAGGGATGAGCCGAGATTGAAATCGTTTCCTACCATTGATGTCAGGACGACTCCAACACCGGCTCCGGCTCCATCCACGTCACTCCTGTACCCCATCTCTGCAAGGAAAAGTAATCACTTGTCTTACCTCCGGGTTTAATTAGTCCCTGCTCCGGGGCTAATTAGGAGCGCGGTCCGCGCCGAGGTCGGGGCCGGAGCCCTCCCTTCCTCTCCCGCTCCCGTTCCCGCTCCTGCTCCCGCTCTGTGCCATCTGCCATTGCCATGACACTGGCTTTGCTTTGCTTTGCTTTTCACGGCTGGCTGGGCGCGCTGGATGCGCGGGGTAATGGGGCTATTTTTCCCCCCTTGGTCTTTGGAAAGGAAATAATAATACTAATAAACCCAGGAATGGCTGGAACTGCTGCACACTGCCCTTTTCCTTCCCACTTGTGAAGCTTTTTAGCATTCAGTTTTCCAGCAATTGGGAGGAAAATTGCCCTGAAAGAAAGAAAGAAACAAAAATCTCTGTTATTTTTTAAACACCCCCCACCCCCCGCGCCACACAGGCAGCTGCAGAGAATTTCTCTTCCAAAGGGATGATGTAATGGGCTTTGTCAGCCAATGCTGGAATGAATAAAACCCGAGACCCGAAATCCATCCAGGCTTTTGATGAAACTCCTGAGGTTCCTGGAGCAAGTGGTCGCCAAAATAGGCTGGAACTGCTGGTTTTGTCATGCAGCTCTTGAGAGAAGTGAGATGGAGAGTCAAGGGCTCCAACCAGGGAATAACCAAAACCACCAGGTTATATCCCTGCTGAGGGAAAGGGGACCTTGAGGGGCATCTGGGGACATTCAGTAAAGGGGTGCACAGCCCTTGGTGCTGGGACATCAACTCAAGCTTCAACACAGAGTCACTCCTGATCTGTACATGGCACCCACAGCCATTTTATAGAGGGATATATGTGTGTATTTAATATTATGTATATTATATATAATTCAATATTATTGCCCAGAGAAGCTGTGGCTGCCCCATCCCTGGGAGTGCCCAAGGCCAAGTTTGATGGGGCTTGGAGCAACCTGGGATGGTGGAAGGTGTCCCTGCCCGTGGCAGGGGGTGGGACTTGATGGGTTTATGGTCCCTTGCTACCCAAAGCAGTTGGGGATTCTGTGATATGTATAAAACATAAATATATAAACTAAACACAAGTATCACCAATTCCTGCTGCAGCAATGGGCACATTGTTGCTCTCCCAAGGATGTTGTGGGCTGCTGAGGCCAGGAGATCTCTCCTGTCTCTCTGTGACTGATCCCAAGTCGCTGTCTAGCTTTCTTTGGGGCCCTTTAGGCACTGAAAGAGGCTCTGAGGTCTCCCAGAGCTTTCTCCAGAGCTGAGCTGACAGAAGAAACAAAAATCAGCCTGTCCTCATAGGACACACTGCACTGTTCCTGTCACCCCAAATTCCTGCAGTGAAGAGGCTGCAGGGCAGGCAGGGAGAGCTCCCGGCATTCCAGAAGGTTCCAGCTCTTGCAGGGACATCGCACGTCCAGGTGATGGAGGAGAATCATGGATACATTTTGCCTTGGCTGCTCTCTGGTCCCTGCTTGTGCATCCTTGCTGGGCATCCCTGCAGCAGGAGCTGGGACAGAGCTGCTGCCATCCCCAGCCCTGTGGAGCCACCAGCATGGTGCCACATCAGTGACACCCTGAGAGCTGTGGTACCTGCTCCTGGTCCCTGTGCCATCCCCCCAGCAGCTGGATAACCCCAAATTCCCAGGGATGACCTCTCTGTGTGTGCAGAGCAGCTGTGCAGGAACCCCCAGCCAGGACCACCACACAGAGGCTACAGCACCAAGTGAAGCCAAGAAGGTTTATAGCCTAGATGGGCCACAAAGGGGATGGAAATAATTCTTGAGCCCAAATGGAGCAGCACTGGGAATCTGGATCCCTTCTCCAGCCCAGGGGTGGCCATCACCTCACCTTCAGCACCAGCAGTACCCAGCAAACCTGGGCCCTAGGGTGCCATTTGGGGAGGGAGTTTTGCCAAGAGCAACAGGGTGTGGTGCCCTTTTCCTCCTGGGCAAAATCCAGCTCCAGTGGAGAATATTTCTAGGAGCACAGGGGGATGTGCACAGCCCAGGTCAGTGGCACAGGGCTTGGCAGGGACACAGGTGCTACTTTGGGTACATCCAAGCCACGTGTCTGTCCCACCAACAGCCACATGCAGCGAACAGCAGGGATGTTTGCCTCCTTTCAAAGTGCCTGGAATGTAGCTGGAGGGGCTCTAACCAAAGGGGAAGTACAAACCTGTGTCTCCTCACCCCCCAGCTCCTTCCAGAGGTCCAGGGCTGGGGACAACTCCAGGTCCCCTCCACACGCACGTGGGTTGCTGTGGGTCCTGCAGTGTGACATGTCTTTGTGTCCCACAGCCCCACCGGATCATCTTCTAAGAATTTGTGTAATCACTTCCTAAGCCATTATGATTCCTGGGCTACATTTGGGCAATGAGTTACATGGTTTAATTACTCATTGTGTGAAACATGCTCGTTTTGCATCTGCCACTCTGTAATTTAATTTGGGGCCTCTTTGTTTGCTTTGTGTCCCCACACAAGAGCCACCGACCCCTATTCACTGTCCCTGTGCCGCTACACCAGGGAATACAAATCCCGCATCCTTTTCCCCCCTGTCTGTCAATTCTTTGCAAGACAAAAAGGGTAATTTATTTAATTGTTGCTGATATAATGTCCTAAAAGTCTCCTTTTCCCTCCAACACTTAATTACACTTGTTAATTATTTTAATTATTCCCAGGGTAATGCTGTAGGTATAGAGTAGCATAGGAGTAAACACGGAGTGGGGAAGTCAGGGTTTACTCCAAGGTCTCTGTTGATAACCAGGCTGTAACCACATGGGTGGTGAAACCACAGCAGGGAACGTTTGGCCTGGATTTGGAACTTTCTGTTGGAAGGATTTATAGGAAGAGAAGGCAGATCCTGCAGGATTGCCCTCAGATGAGGCCCGGAGAGGCAACTCCAGCCTTTCTCTCCTGGCAGAGCCGGCACAAAATGGAACCGTGACTTGGGGAAGTACTTCTGGTCAGCACCTCTGTGATGGTGGATTTACAGGAAGGAAGAAACCAAACCAAGCAAAATTTCAGCCCGCTGGAAAGCTGAGTCTCAGCCTGAGGCTTAGGAACAGCCCACCTCCAACTCCAGCCATGTTCCAAGGGGAGCGGCGGCCCCAGATCCGTGAAACAGCAAAACTCCTTTGTGGTCCCACAGAGCAGCCTGTGCCAGCGCCCCTGGAGCCAGGGTGAAACCCGAGAGCTGCCGCAATCCAAACCTTCTCCACAGCTCCTTTTATCTTCCTGGGGGGAAAACAAACAGCGCAGAAGCCGAGCTTTGTGGCTGGGATGTCGCACATCTGGTTTGAGCTCCAAGAAATGCACTTCCACCCCCTCCCCGAATTGTTCCTGTTAAACAAACAAAACCCCAGCGATTTTGTGAGATTTTGGCTCTGGGTTAACTTTGGAGCAGCTTTTACTGAGAATTCCAGGCCTGTGCTGCACTTCATCCCCAGTGGAAGCAGCACACCTCACTCACTGGGAGGGAGGCACTTCCAAAGGGGAGCAGCCGTGCCCTGGAACCCCCTTGCTGGGAATGCTGCTGGGAGTGGGAGGGGACAGTGCTCTTGACCACTCTGTTTAGGTTTCAATCCAGCATTTTTCCCTGTGTAATTCATGCTTCCTCTCCCCTTTTAAGAACATCTGGAATTGTTTAAGATGTGTCCAATTGTATTAAGTTGCCTTTGAGAGTTTTATGGTGTCAATTGGATTCCCGCTCTTAGGAACAGAGCGTTCCAATTTGCTGGATTTCCCTTTTCTATCACATCAGCACCAACTTCCTTTCAGTGCTTTCAGGTGTTACCTCAGCCTGAAGTTCACACTAACCCCTGGACATCGCTTCCAGTTGACACTGTTCCAGTGATTCCTGGTTGGTGCTGCAGGAGGAAGGGAGTGCCATTCCTCTGGGGTCCTGTCCCACTGGCCCCTCTTTTAGCAGAGGTGGATAAATCAGGGCAGATCATGGAATCATGGAATCACAGAGTGGTCTGGGTGGGAAGGGACCTTAGAGCCCATCTCATTCCCTCCCATAGGCAGGGACACCTTTCATGAGACCAGGTTGCTCCAAGCCCGTCCAGCCTGGCCTTGGACACTTCCAGGGACGGGGCAGCCACAGCTTCTCTGAAAACAGATGAAAGGTGTGGGTGCAGGGGGTGGGAGCAGTTCTGATCCTCTCCCCATCCCCTCCTTGACTCACCCTAGCCCAACCCCAATCACACCCCTTCCAAAGCAGGGGACAATGGCCACACGAGTCACCAGTGACATCTGTCCCCTTGCCCATGCCCAACTTGTGACCAGCTCCTCCGGGCCCTGGGACAGCGTGGACGCCACGTTGACGTTGTTCTCTCAAAGGACAGAGCTCCTCGAAAGCCGCCCAGCGCCGGCCCGGGGTGTTCCCGGCTCCTGGAGCCCGTCCAGGGCATCGAGTTTCAGAGCGGGGCTCCCGGCAGCTGCACGGAAAGGAGCAGCACCGCTGAGACAGCCAGAGGGAGGAGCCATCGCTGCCATTGCCGAGATTCAATTCTCTTCCTCCTCCATCAGATTAACACCAGTGTTACTCCATTAACTGCCAGCGAGCTGCTCTTGTTCTGAAAATCAGACCTGGCTGAGTGCCACAGAATCCCAGACTGGTTTGGGTTGGAAGAGACCTCAAATATCCTCTGGTTCTGCCCCCTTCCATGGGCA